GCCTCCGTTGACTTGTCAATTGCTACTTCACTTTCTTCTACATGTTCCTCTGTTTGCAATTCGGATTGAAACGGAATCGGACGAGGATCAGCAATGACATTGTCGACCAGACGGTCCGGCTTGGGCTCTTTGGCCTCTTTCAACGCACGGAGTGGGAAGACAAAACCTCCCGCGATGAGCTCAACACGTCGTGCTCGCTGCACTGTGATGCTGCCCGTTTCTGCATGGTAATCCAATGCTTCTAACTTGGCGACAAGATACTCACCTTTCCATGCAAAACCAGGTTGAATGTGGTATCCCAAAAAGATTCCATCATTTGCTGTTGGTGATGTCTTTCCAGATGTATTGTCAACCCTTTTTGGATTGTTCCAAAACAGTATCTTTGCACCGAAAGGAATCAACTGACCTGGAAAATCTTCTTCGAATCTGAGTTTCCATGGGGCATCATCACCGTTGAGCTGTGGCGTGGCATTCACTGCCATGGAGAAATGCTGCATAGCCATTGGCCAGTACTGCAATGGAAGACCTGACTGCACAAGGTTTGTGCGTGTGCCTTCAAGCATGTGTCTGATCTCCCTCTCCACAAACGACTTTGAGCTGTCCACATACTCGGTTGATGTTTGATGTCTGTACCCCAATTCTGAAATTGTAGCAATAAGCTCTCGTGAATTGTCAGTGTAAACTGCCCCAACTTCATCCTTGTGAGATAAGAAGTGGTTGAAAGCATTAACACATGATTCGCTCGACTTTGTTTGGCTTGGATAGACGTGCCTGAACTGAGTGTGAATGTCCTTCATCACCAATGCCACTGTTTCACCTTTGACGCCTTCTTCCACATTGGATTTGATTACAGTATGGTCAGCGACAATGTGATCCCCAAAACTTTTGGTTTCCAACCTTTTCTGTCCCCCTTTCTTCTTTGCGGGTGGCGCCATCATGCGCGCCTTCTGACAGATCTTGCAAAATGGGTTCTTGGGGTAATGGCAAAACTGGTGAGACTTACTGCATGCCTCTTGCTCAAGGTCAGATGCCTTTCTAGATCTGATGTATTCGGTTTCACTATCTTGAGCTACTCCCTCATCTACACCTTCTTCATCGGCACCTTCTGCTTTTGCAGCAACCATTGCAAAAAGACGTAACAGATCACAATCTTTCTTGAACTGTCCACTGTTCAAAACACGGCAAGAGCTATCGATGACCGGCACACGGCCGTCTACGTTAAGCTCAATGACTCCCATGTCCGGACGAGCCTACCATCAGCTGGCCACACAAAACTGTAACCCTGTTCCATACACCTGACCCCAACCGAAAGAACAGCAGGAGTTTCCTCAAGAATGTATGGTGAGAATGGCTGATGTAGGGCATCGACTTTTACGTCGGCCACCTCATCCGCTCGTGTCGAACCGTTTGCTGTAGCAAGACTGATCGGAGTGTCGCTGATACGGCGGTTTGTCGCCTTTGCGGTCTTCAGCATTCCCTCACTGATCAAATCCTGTTCACTGCCCGTGTCAACCAACCAAACACATCCATCTTTTGATGCCGGTGTAGCAACAGTGGGCAAATGAGTGTTACTAACTTTGTTCTTGGGACCGATCATTGCTCTACAGTGATTGCATGATACTCCCCCTTCTGGGTCATTGCATCGGAATCGGCACTTGGGCTGCGTCTCACTGCCGAAGAGCTTCACAAGTTCCTGCAACTGTCGGGCCGAAACCTGAGCACGGTGAGCTACGAGTTTGTCGGGTTTTGGCACTGACTCTGAATCTGGGAACGTCTTCTCATAGATTCGGGGTTTGTGCACTACCTTCCTCTGTTCACCTGTTGCTGGGACTTTGATGTATTCCACTTTTGATGAAAACACAACGGCTCTATGGCATTGTTCTTTCATGGCCTTTGTGGCTTTCGGCAACCCTTTTCCCTTTGCTATGCATGCATACCTTTGAGTAATGCATGGCGCAGCTTTTGCACTGGCCTTCTTCTTTGGTGCAGGGCTATTGGTACGTTTTGGATCCTTTGTGGGTGCAGCTGCAACTTCATGTTTGTAAAAACATTTGTCACCACGACGACATTTGCCCTGTTGGAAGTAAGTGCATGGGATCTTGGCCATCTCTTCCTTCGACTTTCTGTTGGGAGAACCACTTCTGCTACCACCTTTGCCCTTACCCTTTCTTTTGGGGGTACCAGATCTTGAGGAATCTTTGACATGCTTGTAGGGACAGTCTTTACCCTTTTCGCACTTGCCATCCCTGAATTTGTAGCATATCTTATCCCCTTTACTGCTCTGGCTACGGCCACGGGTTCGACCTCGGTCGCCCTTTCCTCTGCCGCGATCTTTGCCCCCCTGAGCAGGTGCAGCGGGCTGAGGCTTTTCGGTCTGCTTGTTCTTTTCAACGATTCTGTTTCTGTTTGAACGGAGTCTTTCTCTATCCAAAAGATCACGAATGTTTCTCAGCAAGAATGCATAAGACTTTTGTTCTGACTTTTCAGGAGCTCTGTCGAATGCTTCAATGTCATACTTCATCAATTGACATTTTCGGATTTGTCTGAGTAAGATGTCTCTGAGAACCAAATCATCTGGTGGGGTTTCCATGCCGGCGATTGTGGCGTCCCATCGGTTAAGAAACCTTCTAAGGTCCTCCACAGATTCTCCAGTGCGAACGACTCCAAGTAGGTCCTCGACGCGGTAGAGACTGCCAGCTTCCTCAGACGTCCTGAAGTAATCTTCAAACATCAAAAGGACTCTCCTACCTCTGACTTGGATCCCTTTCTTTGACTTCTCATCTTTGAAGTTATGGATCTTTGTTGCTAAGTCACCTTTGGCTGAGCGAGTTAACGCTGCCGACAATTTGGTGTCAAGTGTGATAAACTTCCCAGGTTCCTGCAGCTTTTCCTCCAACTTTTCCCTAGGGGTTTTGTTGTCAAAGACTTCATTGAGCCAAAGCCAAGCCTCATCGGGTTTGTCGGAGCACGATTTCACTTCATCCCTGACATGATTACGCCAATGACGATAAGCTTCTGGGGCAGGCATGTCGTTCAGTTTGATAGTCTCTGCCTCTTTTGTTCGGGGCTTTTCACCATCTGAATCCTTTGAAGTCAGTCTAGTGATGAGATCTAGCAATTGTTGACCTGAAAGACCTAAGCCTGCTTCAGCTGCTTTCTTGCCAGGGTCGCTTGCTATGACTGTAGGGCTGGGCACACTATGCTCTTGGTTTGCATCGTCATCATTTTATCTTTGAACTGGCAATGGTGGAAGTTTTGGAGGGGCTGCTGATCCGGCAGGGGTAGTTGAGAACAAGTTGCTCAATCTTTCCTTAGCGTCCATGGCTAAGCTACTCATACCAGTGTTTGGCATGGGTTCTGCTCCAGCCTTGGTACCGACCGCTGATTTTGGGGTCATGTACAAATCGACATTGTTCCCGCCTTGTGCATCATCAACTTCGACGGCTCTGTCGACACTGATTTCCGGGGCGCTGTACTTGTTGAGCTTCTCCATCAAATCCTCGACTTGTCCCTGCAATTGGAAATTGAGTTCAGCAGCTTGGTTTTCCTGCCTACTGCATTCCTCTCTAATCTCCTGGATTACAGCTTGTTCCTCTTTCTTGAAACCTTCCATGCCATTCTTTGCATACTCCACTGTTTCGTCCACGATTCGTTTACAGTCTGCCTCGAGGCTACCTCTGAGTTCAGAAAACCTTTGTTCATACTGGGCTGTAACGTGTGCTACCTTTTGGTTGGCTCTTTGTTCAGCTTCCAGTGCAACTGCATTTGCAGCGTTCTTTAGCTTTGCGTTTGCATCGCTAAGTTCCTGTCTCAGTTTTGCTACCTCATGCTCAGCTGCCGTTTGGGACACTGAATATTCTGACACTAGGTGTTCATGTCTGCGATCCGCTTCTGCACGTTGATGGGCAATTTCGCTAAGGCAAACTCCCTCAAACTCTTGGTACAGTTGCTGGACCTTTTGCTCCATGAGATGTGTGTGCCTCTCCTCCGCCTCTTGCCTGAAAGCATCAATGTTACCTTCGTTGATGTAGGTAAGATTGTTTTGCACAAACTGGAAATATGCTTGCACGGGCTGCGTGAAGAAACCTTCATCCACTGACATGGGCGTGGGGTTTGTCCCAGCCGGCAAGCTTTGTTGTGAACCAGTTGTTGCAACCGCTGCTCCAGACGAGGGGACAAGGGCGCCTCCACCTGAGGTGTCTCCAGTTGTCCTTTCCATGGCTTTAAGAGACTACGGCTGATAACCTGTATTTTCAGGTTTCAGCGAGGGATGTTACTATTATCCCAAATGGACTGATAACCTAGTAGGGACAAAACAGCTACAACACCGTTAAGCTAGACAGCTCAGCAGCACCTTTTCAACTGAGCCGCAATGCTTGAGCCACTACATTACATGTGTGTTTTATGGTGAGGTGATTTTACAAAATCACCATGTCTAATAGGTAAATGAACTATTTCTACGGCAATTTTCAATAGTTATGTTAAATTACCAGAGGGGATACCTCCAATCAATAGGGTGTATGGTCAATTTCTATAGTTAGTTGGGGTTCACAAAGCCCTTGGGAAATACTTAAATATTACCATCTGGTTACTTAACATATGGAAAATCACCATTTTTAATAGGTAAACCATCTATAAATGGGCCATTTCCCATGGCTATGTTAAATAACCAGATGGTATATGTTCGGGTCCCTTTTTCCCCTCGGGTAATCCAACTAGTTCCAGCTGGGAAATCCCCCACTTCGTTCCAGGAGTTTCCCAGCGAACGAAACCTCCATTGAGTTAGTTCAGGGATTTCCCAGCCACGTTTGATTTCCGGTATGGGTACCCTCTGGTAATGACTAACATAACTATGGAAAGATCCACCATGCTATTAATGGGAAAATCCACTATTTTTATGGCCATGTTCAATAGCTATTTTGACATAACCAGAGGGTACTGCAAATCTCCAAAGCTCCTCTTGGTCAATGGCAAGATCATCTCCCCCCCTTATCGCGCACACGGCGTGAGAGGCCACCAGTCACCTCGGAAGGAGGTGACTGTTCCTGTCGAATATGGCCCAAAATCACCCAAAATCATGGGGAAAAAATGGGGAAAAAAACATAATTTTTGTGGTGTTTTCCTCGGAGACTCCATGAAGTACCGCAGTCACAAGAAGTTACTGCTGTTCCCAGAATGGTTGGAACCCTCAGGTTCATCACTGCATTCACCTAGTTTGGTGATCCCCCTGTCGACTGAAAGGCCCCAGTGAGCAAGGTCAGTGGATGGCCACCAGATTCTACAAGCCTTCATTTGTTTAGCTGAGTATCATAACTCCCCCAACCTACGGCCCAGGATTGAAGTATTGATACGATTACCATCTAGTATTTTAACATCGCTATGGAAAATGGTCCGTTTATGAATGAATGATGATCTACTTGTTAAAAATGATGCTGTTCTTTAGCAACCTGTGCGTCACTATAGAGCCTCAACTCTACCCTTCACCAAGGCACATCCTTTGGCGCACTTCGCGAGAGCTGTCGGGCATCCGTGGAGGCATGAGAAGGGTATTCCTGACGGCCGGTGGCACGATAAACCATGGACTTCACAAGACTTCTGTGGTAATTTTGCAAAATCCACAAGGTCCTTAACTAATGGGAAGTGGGATTTTGTGTATACCACCATATGCATCGCAACACAAAAGTTGGTAGGTTTAGTTGGTAGGTTGATTCTGCTTCCAAGTCTGACCCAGCAAATGTACTTCCAGTATCTATCTATCTGTCTATCTAATCTTATCCAATCTAATCCACAGATATCTACAGATTAGATTCAACGTAGCTGACTATAGTAATATCTATAGATTACCTATAGTAATATAGGTAATCTAGAGTAATCTATAGTAATCTACCTCTAGATTCAACGTAACCCCACCAAAGCAGCCGATCCTCCAAGGTCCACTGCAGTGTCTTGGCCAAATAACCCAAGGCACGGCGGCAGCAAGCCTGGCGATTATTGTAACGGGATAAGGCCAAGCAACAAAGGTTGGTGGAAAATCCAAGGTTTACATTCTTTGGGAAAAAAAAACATGTTAAGATTTCTTGGCCCCTGAAATATCCTGAAATGAAATCCACACTTTGGGTTGTTTGCCACGCATTTGTTACTAACCACTGGGCTTTACCCCGAGTCCCGAGCTACATCCCTTGGTGACCCAAACCTCCGGGCCAAGGGGATCCAGGATTCCCTTCTCTTCCTTCATGATCTTTTGCATCCTGACGACTGCCCGGCCATGCCCGGGGTGCCATGGTTGATGAATCGTGTCACTGTTGCGGCCGCAAATGGATGGTCGTCTGGGTTCATTATATCTGGCGTTGACGGCGTTGACGGCGTTGACATTGGCGTTGGCAGAGTTTTTTTTCCCTGCGCTGAGTATGGAGATATTGTCGTGTTTAGGGCATGGTTTGAAGGATTCACGCACTGTGCGTGGACATATTCTTGGGGACATGTTCTTGGGATGGTTCAGGTTCGACATATCTCAAAATTGGACGAGTCTTCCAAAATGTTGACATTGGCTGTAATTAGTTCATTTGTGGCTTATTTTGGAACTGTGCCTTTTTCTTATGGGTTTCTACGGTTCTGTCAATCCCAAGAATTGCCAAATGTCACCAGCTGTCCTGTCCACATCTGCACAAATCAGTAGCCCCAGCTGATGCAATGCATCCGATGTTGGTAGCGTCGACGCACTGAAGGGCATCCGCACTTGGACCTCTCCACCGTTGCCACGGTGGATACTGTGGGACCCTGAGTCTGGACCTCCAGGGAAACACTGGGGTAAAGACATATACCGTATACCATCTGGTTACTTAACATATGGAAAATCACCATTTTTAATAGGTAAACCATCTATTTCTACGGGCCATTTTCCATGGCTATGTTAAACTACAAGAGGGTAAATACCAATCTATGGGGGGGTGTTTTCCAGGGTCTAGGTATGTCATGGTATGTCTAACAATTCATGACACAGAAATTAACCATGCGATCAGATATAAACCAGCTGGTCAACTTGGCTCCTCATCGACACCCAACCGAGATCAGCTTCACATCCCCATGTTTGACCATCATGTTCCATCAACTTCCCCATTGAAAAGTGATCATTTCACACTAAGACCATCATTTTCAGACACAGCCAGATGGATCAAATGGATCAAATGGATCAAATGGATCAAATGGATCAAATTGGCAAATCAAGTTGGTTGGATAGTTATATCATAAGTTATATATAGTTACATCATTTTATATCATAAGTTATAACATCATATCCCCATATCCCCAAGAATTCTCTGAAATCTGCAGACATGTTTCCACCAAAATCATCCAATTGCCTCCAGCATCTCATCCTCCGTCTCCGGCGCCGTTTCGGGGGCCGACTCCTTCTGGAGCACCTGGTACCGACACAGTCTGCAGCGAGACAAGCCTCCTGACTTAACCGTAAAACATGGGGGGGATTTAAGGACATGTCTAATGGAGATATCTTGGGAATTCTTGGGATATATCATGCGATTCAACATGACTCAACCGTTCTCCCTGGGATATGAATAAAGAATTTTAATCAAGATTATCGGGACCTGAGCGCTCAATAAATCAACATGTCATCCTTTAGATCCTGGTTGAGAACAATATTCCAATTGCATGGATGATCTGATGACCATTCCCAGTGAACCAAGTAGATCAATAGCCCCCTGTAGAATTAATCAACCAGGAGTCACTGCTCAAATGGTTGCGAACTATCTCGTTAAGCACTGGCTGAGCAGTCTATGAAGACCTCCCATTTCTCTTTTTTAATCTGTTTACGACTCTGATGTAGACAAGACAATGAGGACTAGACTTGCAAACAGATCTCTTAATGGGTAAATCCACTATAAATGGATAGTGACTAGTGGATTTACCCATTAAAAATGGGGCTCAACTGGAATGAAACGATGCCAGTTTTCCATGCCCTGCGGCCTCAACCCTTCGCCAGCCATAGTCTGGTGGCAGTGCATCTCCTAACCTCAGCAAGACGACATGTGAGATGCGACCTGGGCAATCCCCATCAAGGAATAATAATCAACATTGATCAACTATAGCAAATTATTCACCAGGGGATTATAGATATTATAGGCTATAGGTACATGTATTCATTGACCATAGGCTATTCATTATTGTCCATCAAGGAAGTTGATGCCATCCCATGGCATCCCATGGCCATCCTCAGCTCACCACATGAGTTCCTCGTTGGGTAGCCACGGTCGACTGGCCTGGTGAAAACTTGTTGAGGGGCACCCCCATGCCATTGGGATTTGAGGCAAAATATGTGGGGAAATGTCTCAAGATTCAAGGCTCTCGACCCACCACTTTTATTTTTTTCGGTATTGACCCTTCATTTTTCAAGGGCACGAGGGATAACAGGCGATTATCCATATCAAGGTTGATTGTCGCCTTGGTATCTATTTGCCATCATTCACCTGTTGTTGGTAAAGCATGGGAGGTACTCCTCTATTCATCAACCAACATGCGAAAAAAGGACATCCATGGATGATCCTCTCCCCAAATTGTTAGCTATATACCCAATAAATGATTGACACCTCGAGTGAATTGTTCTGAATCATTCAACTGCTCTCATTGCTGGAATAGTCAGCATACTAGTTTATTAGTTTACTATTGTGAGTGATATCATATCAAGTACAAATCGGTTTGATCAACAATGTCCTGGGATCATCATTTATCCATTGGTTGTGGCGGAATACGTTTTTGATGTATTATATAGTAATTCAATTACTACATCATAATAATATATTAATTGGATGCGTGTTATCATCATAATATATTATAACTTGTTGTAACTATATATAGTTATCCCTAAAAAGATAGATTAGTCAAAATGATAAAATCGTGAAAAAAACAGTGATTAGTCATGATTAGTCATTGGGTGACTACTGTCTACATGTTGGTTGGATTGTATTTCCTGCATCCATCATTGACCAAACAATCCTCGGCCTGCAGCGCCATTTCTAAGGCTTCGATCATGCCCCAGAGCTGCGCGTTCTCCGAGGTGTTCTGCGGCGATCCCAAACGTGGATGAAACGGCAATTTTAGGGTTGAGACATGTGGAGACCCACAGAATTGCTGGTAAAATAAACTCTTAAGCAAAACAGAAAAACATGGTTTCATATGGTTTCCTGCTGTTTTTTTTCCCGTCACTAGTAAGCAAACCCAACATTTTTTGTCTTGAACGTGAAGAAAACCAGAATGGTCCAATCAGTGTAATCCAACAGATTTTATACAGCCGTCGCAACCTTGGTGATCATATGCAAGTGATCGAGATCTGATTGCAGCCGCACTTCTTGTGAGATACATATCAGGGATATCGGCATGGAAAAAGTCATCACTCAAAATCTCCGGAACAAAAAAGAAACGATTGCCGAAAGTCACGGCAATACCCCAGGTTCATGGAATGATGAATACTGAGCTATTCTCAAGGATTCTGTCAACCATTCTGGCCAACTTTATCTCGAGCTTTTAGTTGATTGCGGTTTCCCTTGTTCTATAGAAAAACCCGAAACACCGTTGCTCCAAACAACCAAAAATACACCTGGGGAAAATTGGCCAAATTTGGAGGTAAAACATGATAAAACACCCATTCCCCCTTCTGGCAATGACCTTGGCACTCACAGGCAGGCGCAGCAGCACCTGGAGATTTAAGGATCAGGAAATGAGTCATGCGAATTGATGAAGAGTTGATCGATTTACCATCCCACCATATCCCACCAATGCAAGTAGTCTTTCCAAGCCAATACATGGGGTGTATGATGGGGGTATGGTCCTTGGCGGATTCGCTTGATTCCGGGAATTTTTGGGGGATAAGCCAGAACTGCCACCTCTTGAGTTAGGGGATCAACTGACTAACCAGCCAGAACTGCAGGATTGGAGTGATCAACAAACAAGGAACCATGAAGAATTAGGGTTACTTCGATGATGCAAAGTTCATAATCCAACTAGTACTCATAGATGTTCATAGGTCACTCCAAGACTGGCACGGGTTCATGGAAGCCATGAAATAATATCCAGTGGCCAGCAATTTCATCAGTTTAGGGATCATCCAGATCAATAGCACCTCTAAAGGAGAGGAAACATCCATTGAAGCTGACAATCTGATTCTACAAGTCTCTGGTTCAATACTCAATCATTCTGTTTCAAGTCAATCCTCAGCGTAAAGACCACACACCTGGTAAGTGTCAGTAGCATGTCCATAAACGTGTTGATACATTTGTAACTCTGCGTTTTCAGCCACACTTCCCGAACCCTTCAATTTCTCAGAAGTCAAGATCTTCGCAGAGTTGCTTTCAATTCAAGATATTCAAGGAAAATCTGCAAGAAACCTCTGTATTTGATGCTAGAACTATGTAAAAGTGATGGTTTCCTGTAGATTTTCTCAGCAAAACCAATCCACAGCCGCCTCCACGCTCTCCCAAGGATTCGAGATGTCATCTGAAGGCCCAGCAGCCTGGTTCTGGTTGATTGTCCGATTGATTCTGATACACATACAGTCACATTGATAAATATATAGACTGTGGTAGACTATAGACGTATATAATGTATATATATATATACAGTATATTATTAGTATGCACAAGGTCATTTCTAATGACATCTAAGAACTCTTGTTACGTTTATCCCATGGATGAGTGGATGAATAACTACCTGCACGAGAGTACGTTTTCGCCACGACTAAAACTAGGTTTCCAAACCACGACAAAACCCGGCTGTGAACCACGACAAGGACCAAAGATTTAAACACGACCGGCAAACACACCATCGACTGTCCGCACTGCCAGCATTCACACCGCATTTTTTTCACATCTTCTTCCGGTGGATGATTTTCTTCACCTGCACCGACCAAAACTCTTTTCAACCCCGACCCATGCCTCACGTAGCATTGGCAACTGCAAGTGAACATTCCACAATAACAAGAACAACAACAACAACAACCAACAACAACAACCAACAACAACAACAACAAGAACAAGAACAAGAACAAGAACAAGAACAAGAATCACAACCACAACAACAACAACCACAACTGTTTGGCAACAACTCCACTCCACTTCAACAGTTGCGCCAAGCTGCAAATGTCACACAATCGCTGCACCTCAGCCCTTCAGGCTCTGTCGTCTTATCACCAGGAGCACCCGTGTACCTTGGGTGCCAGGCAGTGCCCGAGTCAGACGACCGCTGGCATAGAGCGCAAGTCTTCGGCTTGGATCGGCGCAGCTTCAATGCCTCAACGAAAGCCAGAAAATTTTCAGACCCTGGGTGGACGACACAGCCCGGTCCTCCAAGCCAGGGATAGGGACTACCTTGTGACAAGCTCAACTCCGAGCTTGAATGTGTTTCAAATTGCAAGCAAACAGCGCCTCAGCCTCCGGGTTGCCACAGTTTGTATTGGCACGCTGCTGCACCTGTACCGAATCACATCACAATTACAACATCAGGAACAGCCCCGGCCAGTATCCATATTTTGTTGATGGGCTCATGCTTGTTGCCCCTGCTGTAGCCATAGATTTTCTTCATGAGGTCTCTCAACTCAGGAACCTGCATTGGGATGAAGAAGGTCCACAACATTGCGCAAACGAAACTGCTCCAGTGGCAACGTTGGAATTCCAGTCTTTTTGCGAAAAAGGGTCTGATGGTCACATTCGCAGTCCATGCCTGCCAACGGCAAACCGTAAGAATCGCTTGTGGCTGACAGTCTGATGAGAACGCCTAGCAAAACTCCAAGGATTTCTTGAGGCGTCTTCTGATTGTACATTGGTGTCTCAGGAATATGTAACTTTGGTCCTGGCATCGAGGGCTGCTGCAACCAAGGCGTTCGTCGCAGAAACGACGAAGGTTGGGTACATGTCATCTGCCCAATCAGTAACGCATCAGCCCGTCCTCGGGCTTCCTTCTTCTGCCTTTTTCGTCCTCCTCGCTGTACTCCTTCTCTTGCTCATGAGACGCAAAAACGGACATGCGCAGCTGTATATGTTTCTATCGTAGATGAAACTGTAGTCGAAAGTAAGCCCAAATCAACATTTGTTTTTCTAATCCACGGTCCGCACCAAAATGGTTAAAATAATTTGAACAAATCCATAAGACTGCCAGATCACTGGGCCTCTGGATCGCTCGGGTTTGGCCTTTGCTGCTGCAAGATAACTGAGGAATTCAGGCCAGACCGATGCATTTCCTGGCCCCAGGCAGCAACAAAAACCGATGCGCGTCACAGTTTGACAGAGAAACAGCGACCCAGTTGATTGTACTAGAATGTAATATGGGTTTGCCGTGTTCATTGCACATTCGTACACTTCTACCTGCCTTTGTCTTAACCTGTGTCTTCACGGCCTCTTCTTGAGAACCAAACCACTAACTCATCGAAGGTTGCGCCTTCTCATTCTGGCCCTCTGTTGGCTCTTTCCGATCTGCCGGGGGCTGCTGACTCCTTTCGGGGATTACCGCACCCTGGCAGGAGGCAATCACTACATTTTTGCCAAGGAAGCACAGACAGTCCGTCAGGTATTGGGTTGCGAACAGTCTGCTGGTATAACGGTCTGAGGCTGGAACAGCTGCGGGAGAGACTACCTGATCGCGAACTTTGGAGTAGAATTGTAGTCTTCATTCACTCGGCTGCATTGGCTTCAGAAAACTGAGGCCTGCAAAACAAGAAACCCATGACAGCATCACTTAGGTGAATACCATGTTCCTAGGTCTGTCTGAGTCTATATTCCACATCCTGGAAACGATGCGGGCCTGAACCACTTCCTCCGATGGACCAGGCGCCTGCCCCGTCGGAGACACCGGAAATGTATCAACACACGGACGCCGAAAGCTGAGAAGGTTATACTACACACTTGCAATTTCATTGGCTGCTCATGGTTGCCCACCTTCATCAGCCGGGAAATTTCATCTCCGAGAGCATGTCCTTCTTGTGTAAGTCCTGTCAAAACTCACCCCGCCACATGACAAGCCATTGGCTGGTCTCTCCCCCGCCTTCGTGCTGTGGAAGGAGTGGCACGTAGTGTGGTTGCGTTTCGCCTGCCGCATCCTTTCTGCTGTGTGACCAAAGAAAAATGTCTGGCCCTGCTTTTGCCAATGCTGGTACCCGATAGTCAGGCTGTGCGCCGGCAGTCGGCTCGATTGCGGACGCAAAAACCAATACGTTGATTTCGAGTGCTTTTGCAGCTGCTGCCTCACAACAAAAGCCCCGAGAGAAGGAGAGTGTGCCATGTTGTATTTAAAGCAGGGTCGCATTGGTTGATTTCTGTAACTTTCACAGAAGTGCTGCATGAATTGATGTGATGATCGATGCAACAAAGCCACCAAGTCGTCTGGCTCGCTGATCTTTCCCGACACCAACTCTCAATGGCTTCTTCTGGAAGATTCAATCCTTTTCCCCAAGTAACAACCTCACGGGTGTCCTGCGAAGAACACACAGCGAAACACGCACAGGCAGCCGCCAAAATATAAAATGAAGCAGTTTTTTCGATAGCTGCCTTAACACCCTGCATCAGAGTCCAGTCCACCAGTCAAGCCCGTCAATCCCCCATGTTTAAACTCCTGCTTCTCACCGTTCCATACGTCTGATGGGTCTTTGGCACATGCAACAAACAGCGATGAAAAGAGACATCTGCGCAGGCAAAGGTTTTGTTTTCACAACTTAACACTTAACACCAGGCCATATCTAGGAACCTTGCGGCCCCGCATCAGTGCACCACACGCATGCTAGGAATGCTTTCCGTGAATGAATCCGGTAGCACGGCGACGGCCTTCCATCTGGTGGCACGGGGACTGGGCCGTAGTTCTCCGGCAAGACTGAAGAGGCCACTAAACGGTCAAAGGCTTCCACTTCCTCTGCCTGAAAATTCAGCACGATCGCGTGCAGAACTACCAGGATGGCATAGCACTTGATGCCCGAGCAGAAATGGATGAACGTAAAGCTCCAAACATATCCAAGTTGTGACAAAAACACAGAAATGATTGCCACAAGAAGTCATTTCCTAGGTCAACGCTGTGGTCTCTTGGAGTTCAAGAACAATGTACAATTCCAGCATCTGGTGACAAGGACAGGACCCAGCTTGTTGGGCAATCACCTGAACGGAGTTTGAAAGACGTTGGGAACATCTTGACCTCAAAAGACCTCAATAGACCTCCATTGACCTCAAGGCATCTGGCAGCCAGCGCCTGTTCGGCCACTGCATTTCCTACGTCGAAAGCCAACCTGTCGATGAAGCTGTCAACTCCGCAGCTCAATCACCATGCTTCATCAGGAGTCCAGATCATACGGTTTTTTGTTTGCTTATTGTTTTTAAATTGTGGTTGAACGGCTTTTAATTGTGGTTTAATGCTTTTCAGAAGCCTTGGGGGAGAGTTGGGATTTTCATTACAATTGCGAAATGGGCCCCCTGAAAAAAAAATAGTAAACAAATTAGTGGGGGGGACCCTTCACTATTGTGGATGTAACATTAATTGGTTCGAACCACACTTGTGATCCAACTGATGGGAGACAACGCACCTCTGGTCATCAATCAAACCGCCACGTTGGACCAAGTCTTCTGATCCCTTAGATTCTGCGATCTGCGCTGAAACAGCACTGTCTGTGCCACTAGTAAAATGAACCACAGCGGCACCAGCCACTTCTCTCAGGGTCAACAAAAACCTTGCAAACCTTGCAAATGATGATAAATAATGTTATGTTAGAGTTTCTGGAGTGTTTCAAGATGTTTCAAGTACGTTTATTTAATAGCGTCTGCAAGGTTACCGAGCAGCTTGACGGAAGCCAGGCCATCCGGGAGGTTGATGCTGCAACATCTCGCCATGGCCTTGGGCTGTTGTAACTTGGCCAACGCAGCTACGAAAGGGGGTCCCTTTAGAAAGCGCTTTAGATTCGTTCCTTTTAGTGACAACAATCTCAAGTAGGTCTTGGATGGTCTTCAAATCAAAGAACTGCAGGTGACACGCAGTGACACGTCGATGATATCACAGATGTTTTGGCACGCTGGGCTGAGATGGCTACATTGATGATCAATGGGAGATCCATTTATTAATATGGATCTTCCAGTACAACTGCTGAGATGGCTGCGAACCGGCATGATCTGACGCTTGGTGTCTTTTGGCCAACTGCTTCTTCTCATGCGTGAAGCCAGAATGGCCCTGGACTACAACCTTTCAGGCAGAGTTGATCTAATTGTGCAATTTTTTTCATATCTCATTGATTGTGCTTTGATCTGGATCTGCTCTCAACTGCGGTCTCAAATTGCTGCAGAATAGTGCTGAGACCACAGAACCGATATGCTGATTGTCTGATGTCTTTGAATGAACGATCAATCGATGTTTGACCATCATTAGTGGCATTTTTGGTTTGAACAGGTCTTCAATTGAACAAGGTATTCGCTACTCGTGCTACCCTCTTGTCGTGGTTTTTAATATCTTGTCATGGTATAGATTCCACTGTCGTGGTATGACCAAACACCTTACCTGGACTATAAATGTTTACCCACTCATTGACTGGGATGCACCAACCCCTTTTGTACATGCCATTTCATCCTACCATGTGGAGTTGTCTGAAGCTTTTGGAACTCGGAAAATCCATAGTTTGTCATCATATTCCCAAAACCGCCATGAATACCTGATTTTGTTAGTCCACAAGATCCACAAGCCCACGGCGGCTGGTGCCTTCAAGCCATCCACACCCATCAGCAAACGGAAGCCCTGCAGACTTTCCATGGGCAACAAACGGGTATGGCTACCCGAACATGGAGTACCTTGTCGGGCTTACACTTGGCTGGCCATTGTTTGATATTCTAAGTCCTAAGTATCCAACCTCGACATCGTGGTCAAGCATGTTTGTTTCCCAAACATGGAGTATCTTCCTCATTCCCATGTTTAAATGGCAATGAATGTTGTATTTATTCCATTTTCAGACAACCGTAAATGATGGTTGGTGGCGGCAGAAAAATTGAGGAGATACTCCAAACATATCTCCAGATGATAAATATATTCAACCGCCCATGTGATGATCTCTTTTGCTGTAGATGCGAATGGTTATGGGGCAAAAGACACAACTATTGCAATATCATGATCAATATCCAAACGATCGCTGGTGCCTCCCATCTGGAGAGGAGTGAATGGTCTGTCCATTTTCCCAGTCCCAAAATCATCTACCATGAACATCCATGAGATTCCATGAGCCAATGGCTTTCGAATTGTTTTGGGGTTTGTTTTATTTCACAACACATTTATAAATAAATATATATATATATATACATATACATATTATATATATATTAATATTATCTTTCATCAAATCAATCACCCCTATAGCCTATATCCATGAACCTTAATTGGTTTTGAACTGTTAACTGTTTGAATCACTTCCCTGAAACGACCACAACCTGGTGGCTGTCCAGGCCTGGGAACACGCGAAGCCCTTGTGCCAAAGTCGGACCGCTTCGCCCGCCTGTGCTGAAAAAACCATGAATCCATGGCTTGATTTTAGGGAAAATTTATAGGAATATGATATATCATGATTCATGATATATCATGCTATATATATATATATACATATGTATAGGGTGGTATCATGAAATATATAACAAATACAGTATGTGGGGTTTCCGGATTTTTTTCCCAGTATCCAATTCAGTAGAAGTTGGAAGAGGTGAGAAGCATCTCTCGCCAAGACATTGGTGCCACAATGGGGGAAATCTCGTCCCAAACAGATACAAAACGATACCCCTTGAGATAGATAGAATACGCAACGGCTTCAGAATATTACTACGTGATATTGAGAAACCTGTACCAAAAAATTAACTCAAGACCCTCCCTAGTCGTCACCCAAGAAGGAATCGCTGTTAAATTCAAACGGCTTTGTGACTTGGGTTGATGTTAAATTTCATGACCCCACTACCACCCGAACAACGGCTTTAAGGCCGAAGAAAGCCTGGCATCATCCAAGATGCCTTGAGTGCTTTGCTGGCCGAAAGCACCAGTGCCGGACTGCCCTGGGGCGGGATTTTTTCTTCGGGCGGACCTGGATGGCATCACGGTACAGTTCTTTCATAAATGGCCGGCTTTACCAAAAAAAACAGCTAACTATGGTCAACCTAATCATAAACCATCCCCAATATTCAATATGTATATGTATATGTATATGTATATAGTATATATATAATATATAATATAATATGTAATAAAATTAATATATATAGATATATATTACAATAAAATACAATGAATGCTTGCTTGATACCCATCCCCCAATGGCAGTTCTTCAACAAACTCTCCAACGTCGCCGCAACGGTGCAACGGCCGGCCGGCCTCCACCTTCTCCAAGCGAAGAAGGCCGTTGCCGCCCGAGGCCTTGCCAGGTGAACCAGCCCAACTTCAACCGCAGTTATAATATCTACTAACTACATATATTATAACTGCGGTATATTGTAGCTGGCGCCGTGGCGCGCGGCCTGTGTGTGAAAGCTATTTTTTTGTTTTTTGTCTTTTTTGTCTTTTTTGTCCTTGTTGGGGTGGGGTGGGGTGGGGTAATAACGTTCATGTACGCTTGCTGAGCGACGTCATGCTACGTTGAGGTAGCTTTCTTGTACGCTTGCACATCTACTCTGTGCTACGTTGATGTAACGTTCTTGCGCTCTTGCACAGCTACGCTGTGCTACGTTGTTGTAGCGTTCTTTAGCGTTCTTGCGCTCTTGCACAGCTACGCTGTGCTACGTTGGTGTAACGTTCTTGCCCGCTTGCGGAACTACGCTGTGCTACGTTGATGTAGTGTTCTTTAGCGTTCTTGCACGCTTGCATATCTACGCTGTGCTGCGTTGATGTAACGTTCTTGCTAGACATGTATGTTAATGTAGTCTGCCCGGTTACGATAGGACCATTATCTTTATCTTGAACATTTTCATATGCATAATTCGTTTATCTAGAATTCCCTTGCAGACGATGACGACGACGACGACGATGATGATGATATGATAAGATAAGACAGGATAAGATGATAAGATAAGATAATGCTGATCATGCCTGCGGCCCACAGGCCGCTGGCCACGGCGCGACCATATTGTAACATAGGTATAATATATCTTGTAACTACCAACTGCAGTTTTACAATCGATATATTGTAATATATGATTAATGTTAACAAAAGTTCCACAGCTCTACATTTTCATTGCAGCAAATACAACTAATGTTCATTATATATATATGGCAAAACCACTATAAATCAGCAAAATCACTATATATAAACTATAGTTTCTATATACATCTGTCAATATTATGGAAATCATAAATAATTTCCATAATCACTATAAATTAGCAAAATCACTATGTATATATAAATCACTATGTGCATACATCTGAATCACAGTAAATAGATATATAAATAGATATATCTATAAATTCACCATTCACTATTAATATAGATATATAAATAGATATATCTATAAAATCACCATTCACTATTAATATAGATATATAAATTGATATATAATGATATATAAATTACAGTACATCTGTTTCCATAAACGTTCCACCTAGGCTTTCCCACATCCTTTGGCACCAGCTCCAGTCCCGGCGCCAAGACATCAAGGCGATCGCCTGGAGAACCAAATCGCCCAAGGCGCCGGTGAAAAAACCGTGGGAAAAGCCGCTGGGAAATGGCGGAAAAATATGGGAAAAACACATATATGGAAATGTATGGAATATATATATATATTTTTATATGTATGATTAATGTATATATATATATTATTATTATTATTATTAATATATATATATACAGTATATATGATTAATATATCATTAACATCTCATAATATAAGGGAAACATATGGAAAACATATTTGGGAAAATCTGCATGCTGCAGTTTTTTGACATTTTTTGAAAGTATGAAGAATGGGATGGCGAGACCTTAAGCAGTTGAAGATTAGGAGTACATTGTCTTATCTTCCGGTCCAACATTGTTGACAATGGGTAAAATCCAACATGTTCAATACTGGGACCATCATCCACTTCCATCAAGAATCTTCCATCCAAAAAAAAATGCGTACCAGAAGTAAGTACAGTAATCGTTAGGTGGTTTCTTTCAGTGCTTCAAATGGGAAGATCACTTCGACTTTTAGATTCTTGGACTTCATATGATACCGTCTGGTAATTAAACGGCTTGCTATGGACAAATCACCATTTCTAAAAACCGGTATGTCATCACCAATATCACCAATCATCAACAAAAACATGGTTTCCCAATGGTTTCCATCCATAGCTATGGTACTTAAGCAGTGGCAACATGCTTCATCCCTGGTTTCCTGGGGATTCTCACCTCCGGGCAGCAAGAACTGCACGGAGAGCTCTTGCAGAATCCAGCGCGCCCAGGCGTAGACCTCGCCAAAAGGCACTCGGGAAGGGAACATATCAAAATATCGCTGGGTGAACAGTTCACCAACAAAGAGATATCAAACAATACAATATATAATATATATATATACCCTCTGGTTATTTAACGAAACCCATGGAAAATCACCATTTTTAATAGGTAAATCGGTAAATCATCATAAATCATCTATGATAAACTATGATCAACTGAAGTCCAAGTTCGAAAACGTCTCCGAAGTTGGTCAAAAAAAAACGGAAAGGAAGCGCCTCCACCGATCCTCTCGGCAGTTCGCCCTCTAAGGCGGAACGACCGTCCTGTGACACAAAGGGGACGTCATGGGGGGGATGGTGAATACTTGGAGGAGGATCATCTCTGTGGGTAACTGGTTGTAGAACCATAGTTAGACCCAATTTATACATGTGAACAAGCCACAACTGGTTAATGTTGGGGGTTACTTTGATGTTTCTTAGTAACTGCTAGTAACTGCTAGTAACTGCTAGTAACTGCTAGTAACCACAGTTACACTCATTGAAAAACGTAGGATAAACATGGATAAACCATCAAATCTTCACCATCACCAGGGTTGCTCAACCGCTCAACCGCGAAAACGATACGTGGCAGCCTGGGACGATCCTCCAAGGAACCACTGGTGGTTCTAGGAAGAATCCTCAAGCATTTTTATATGATGATTATCCGTTTAATAGGATTATATGTATGTATAATGTATATATATATATATCATATATTATATTATAGATTATATATATATATGTGTGTATATATTGATGACTATTAATTGTTGATGATTATTGAATAGTCATTAATCCAGCTAAACTGCGAAATGATTAAACATATGATGAAAACGACATAGCTAAATTATGTGAAATGTCAAACAATTAGTCATTTGATTATGTTGACCCATGTCAATTCGAGAAGACTCGCTGACTCACTGATTAAATGGTTTGGGCATGTTTGGGCATATTCTGAAAAAGAGTGCCACGGAACAAAATAAGATCATGGTATTGTCATTTGATCAATGGATTGGTTTAAGGGAAAATTTACAGGAAAGCCCCATGATCTTCATGGGAAAATCTATGATTTCCTGTAGATTTTCACCCACAAACCAATCCATTGATGAACAGTAACTGACTCACGTGGAATATGGCGGTGAAATCCAGCTCTTCCCCCTGAAAAAGCTATCATCTTTGGGTAGCCGGGCCTCCAGCTGGTCGATCAAACCCAGAGCTAAGGACACCTGGACACAACTCTGGTGGAAGGTCAAGTGAGATCACAAGAATCCTATGATTTACTGGATAATCCCATCACCTTCCGATGGAATACACACCCCCATGGTTACTGTAATGGTCCCAGTATGTAGTTTCATCCCTTCATCCATGGTTTCTGGAAGTCGAAATGGATCAGCTGTTAAAACACGTCGAATTGACCAGCTGTTTCCATCCAAAAATCAGCGGTTTCATCCCAGATACCCTCTGGTAAACTAACATAGCTATGGAAAATCACCATTGTTCATGGGAAAACTCACTATAAATGGCCATTTTCAATAGTTATGTTAGTTTACCAGAGGGTAAAACATCCCAAACCTCGCGCCAGTTGCCATCCCAAAACATCGGCCGTTTCCAAACGCCTCCGGTCCCAGATCTGCCAGCAACGCTTGGAGATCAGCCAGGATCTCTTCCTCTGCAGCTGAAGGCCATGGCGTACCGCAACCAGGGGTTGATCACCATGGTCCCCATAGAAAATGAGAAATTTGGACCATATTCCATTTTCAGACAGAGCCAAATCCCAAATATCATCAAATATCATCAAATATCATAGTATCACGATCCAGCTGGTGATAGATCTCGTCAAATTCCCATGAATCACTGTTGGTTTGAAACCCAATCACCATCATCGATGTTTAAATCTATAAGAATCCCCGTCGTTGACAATCAAAACAAGTCAAAAACTCCATGTAATCACCAATTGTTCAATGATGTCCCATGATTTTCCCATATGTTTCAATGATTTTCCGTAGTCCCCTTATCTGTTCGTCCCAAATATGGCCCTTCTGCTCCTACTGTCTCAGACTCTATCAGGTCGGAGGCCCGGGCCTGCCGACGATGGGCCTCCTGGGCAAAACAGTTTCAGAGTTTGGTAAAATAATCAACATTAAAACTACGTATAAGTTGCTTAAATTACCATTACCTACCATACATTAACAGTTTTACGAAACCTTGAAATCAAATGCTGTCAAAGGAGTTCAAAGGATTTCAAATGCGTTCAAATGCTTTGGCAACCAGGCTTTCTATGGATTTCTGATGACCTGTTGATCTCCGGTCCATGTTCCGTCACGCTCCTCGAACCAAAAGCTCCCTTGTAGGGACTCCAGGTCGCGTCGACCCCAGGCCAAGACGGTCTCCTCAGTGAAAAATGGTGAAAAGATCAACTTGGACGCCCTGAACATGCTATGCTGTTAATCCTGGCAATGACTTTAATAAAATCTTTTATAATTATCCTTAAATCAAAGTTAAAATCTACCAGATGTATCCAGATGCAAATTCACCTAGCGGAACTGGATCGATTCGGCTGGAAACCCTGAGGCAGGCCACGATTTTCCGACTTCGAGGTCCCAGAAGCTCCAGGTGTTTTCGCCGGAGCTCCTCAGGGATGACCCTTTGATGATGCCTGGAATAGTAAGCCCCACCTAACATGATGACTTCAGTTGTGGGTTGGGAAAGTACATTCCAAGGGATGAGTGTTTTCAGAGTGTTGGAGCTGGAGGAATTGTAATTTGATCCCTGGTTGATTGAATTGGTTTAATTGGAAGGCCACGTTTTACCTGGGATGATGTTCATCCCTGCAAGGCCAGTTTGACTATTTGACCACATCAACTTTGTTGATACTGACATATACTGACCAACACACTGAAATTGGGGATGAGTCAAGAGCTAGGATACCATACTAGGAGCTATGAAGATCCATAAAGAACGGCTATTTTGACCAGGGTAAATGGCAGGCAATGAAGTCTAACCTAGGTAGCTAAGTGTCCAGGCCTGTGCTGCCGCAGGTGTTGCCTCTGGATTTCTCTGCAATTGCCTGGAGCTACCACCCATTGATGCAACAAAAATAGTGCTGGGTTGAAGATAGAAAATCTGTAACTTTATTCCATTAATGAATTATAATGAATTATATATCCCATAGATATGCCACTATAATGGGATATGATGCCACTATAATTAATGGTATTGGACCGTCACAATTAAGGCCCTGACTTTTTCATCCCGTGGTTCAGCGTCAAAACTACCCCCTGATGACCTTGAACTGCCACCGCATCCATGTTTTTTCTCGGATAAATCGTCAGGCTTGACTGCCCAATCCCCTTGCTTGTGTTTCTTGGTCAATATCCCCATGTTTGTTCCTTTGACCCTTGCAATTTCTAGAATCCATGTGTTCCTAACTCTCAAATCGCCAATATCATCGGCCATCAATCCTTGGCTTTACATCCCCCGTCATACGTGTGCCATCGTGTGCCTATGCTCGAAAATCAGATGCAACGCGATCTTGGTGCACGCAGCTTGCAGCTCCAGCCCCTCCGGATGTCGCACGAAGGCTTTCTGGAGGGCCTCCGCAGACGGCAAAGTTGCGGGAATGTCCTCAACGGAAATGATGATTTCACCAGGTTTTTGTGGCCAAAATGTCAAAATTCAGATCCGTTTGGGGTACCCCTAAAAGAGGATGCCAAGGATTAAACATGACCAGCATCTGGGGGCTGGTGAATTTCGATGCCGTTGTGAACCACAGGAGTTGCAAGTTTCCAGTGGAAAAAGAACATCTATGGCATGTTCCAAAATGAATCTGCTTATCATTGTTTTTTTGTCAACTAGATGCCTTCCTGATCAACTCTCACTCTCAAACTCGATCTATATATATCTTTGGCGATAAAACCCAGTGTCCTGGAACCTTGTCAAACACCCTGTGGTCGCCTGTGCCACGGCTGGACACTCCTTGTCCACCGCCTGCGCAGTCCAACAGTTCTTCAAGGGCAGCACTAACCTGGCAGATGATGGCAGTTTCACACCAAAAATCCTGGTGGCTTCGAGGTTTGAAACAACCAGTCGTGGAGATATGATCGTTTTCCTGCAGGGCTTGGTGCTTTCACCCCCTTGGGATCATCCCTTGAAAGGACAAGTTGCAGGAAACCACCGGGTAGTAAATTACTGAAGATGCTCCCGTCATTTCCAGCATCACTGAAATACCAGTTTTTAGGTCAGGAGGTCTCAAATTAACATTTGGACATATATCAAAAACAATCAAAGAAATCCAAAGACTACAATAATGTGATTCTTCTTCTGGTCGAACAAAAAATGATGTGATCTTTGCGTTGACTTTGAATATGACTTATGTGTTTGCTTAAAATGTCTTCGTATCTCTGTCTTATTCTGTTTTCACCGTGCTCAAGAACCCGAATGACAACACCCAAACATTACAAGATTCTTCGAAACAGTCAAAAAAAATACAGGGAACCCCCCCAATCGAACTACATGATCTGGGTACGGTTTCAACGTGTGTAACCCCAAAAAAAAAAACGGTTTAAGTGGGTCTTCATCCTTGACCCTTCCTATCCCATAAATATGGCTAAAAGATGCTCAAAGTACAATCATCATGGGGCAACATACCGATTTTCATGGGTCCAAACGGAAGGTCAATCAGTACTCCCGGCACACATTCATCACCAAGCGGCAGCGATGCGCCCTCTTCAACGTTCTCGCAAGTGCAGCACCCTGTGCCACGAAGGCAGGAGGCTCAAAATTGGCTGCCCTAGAATTGTGGCCCCCCTATGCGGGATATCTGCAGAACAGGATGATTTTGTTATGGGTCTTCTGGCAATTTTCATGGATCGGGAAATCATGGAACAAAAACCACTGGAATTCAACCTATGTTTGGAAAAAACCATCGAATTTCATGGGGTTAGAACCGGCCATCCGGCGGTTCGAGTTGGTTTTCTTCTGGACATCACCAGCCATCGCCAAGGCGATGAAGCAACGCCTCTCACATCGACCTGCTGGGCAGCGTGGCATCCCAAGAGTTTGTTGTGAAATACGTATGAGGCTGTATCTGAAAATGGGGTGTATATATATATGATGGTATATATATATATATATATGATGGTATATATATATATGATGGTATATATATATATGATGGTATATATATATATGATGGTATATATATATGATGGTATACCGGTATACGAAAAAAAAAAAACGTCCATGTTCATGGGGAGAATATGATGATATACAGAAAAAAAAAACAATTAGATTCTGGGGCACAATATCTTCACATATACATACTGTAGCCTACAACGACCCTAGAATAGATATATAATAGATATATACGGTAGAAATAGAAAAAATGAAAATTTCAGAATTTTAGAGTAATGTTCATCAACATTAACCTGGATTGTTTCTATCTTTTTGGGCACCCCTATGGATAAATAGATGGATAGGTGGTACATCCATAGACCTCGATAATGGCTGCTTCGACAAGTTCGATCTGGATTTGCGTCTGGGTTTTGGTTGTTCCATCTTGTACCCACAGTGTCAGTGGCACTCACACCTCTCAAAGCTTTGGAAACAAGAGGAAAAGAACATCGGAAACCCAAGATGCACAAAACATCACAAGACTATGGCAAGCTTCTGGAGGCATCAACAACTTTGTGATGAAAAATGATGAAATCGCCACAGCACCATCCTCCCGACATCCTCCAATCCACCTTCAGCTTGTTCAGCGTATATCCAAATGACTCAAGGCTCGCCATCGCAGCCCATCAGCCCATCCCTGTGGATCCACAACTCTCATGATGAGCCTGCCATTTTTGTTGGGGCTGTTGGAAGATTAGTTACTAGTTCTCTCTAGTTCTCTCAGGGTCTCTGTTCCAATTTTCTGGAGTTTGTATGATAGTTTATCTATGTTGGCACCCATAACAGACCCTCATAACATCTTCTTCGACTCAAGGCGTCCTGATATTGTCTGACGATTTAAACATTGGCTTGCAAAACCTCGCTGAATCATGACGAGGGTTTTTAGTCTAGTCTGGCCCTTTTAAATCTTCATTTAAGCCATGTCTGGAGCAAAAATCCATGCGGAAGGCAAAGCAGCTACGACTGGCAAAAACATAGTGGATGAAGTGGATTCTACTGCAAAACTTGTGGATGTGACTACTTGAAAATCCTGACCAAACATTCATGATTGGTTGGGTTAACTGCTTACAGAGATGGGGAACCTCCTAAGGAAAAACAGTGCACTTCTTCTGTCAAACCCTGGCCAGTTTCCCGCGTGAGGAACATTCACTGGCCATCTTGTCAGCAGGAGTTGTATTTTGATGCCCTGCCAGTTTGGATCATCATGATTACCCAAATAGGTATAAAACGGCCTCAGCAAGAATCCTGGAGGAACCGCTTCCATTTAAGATCCATTTAAGGGTGAATGTCTTGTGATGGCATTGTGGTACGCATACCGTCATGTACTGTTTACCGTTTTCATTGACGCATGGAACGCTCAAAGCACCATGCGGTAGGAATTAAATGTCAATGAGTGCGGCTCAATGTGAAGCAGGCTGACATGCGCTGACCGCCTGCAGGGTAGATGTTGCGGAAAAGGTCTCAGCTTTCTGAAACAAACCCGTCAGGCTGGAGCGCTAAAGACAACCAACTCAGCGTGTTCGGCACTTGCTACTGTAATCGTAGAAAACTTGTGGCGCATGCCCTCCTACCTAACCCCAGCTGCAACAAGCCCAGGCAGAACCTCGAACAAGACACATCTAAACATACTGAACCTACCGGTTCATTGAAATCAAAACTCAATGGCAGAAATTGACCCACCCAAACATTACCCTCGTGGCCGCATGTGATGATGCAAAAAGAAAAAAACTGCATCAGCTCCAAAGCATAAATCAACAAACTCCCCCTTCCAACTGGTCCCTGGAAGGAATATACAATCAACGCGCACCACGCACCCGATGAAAAAAATGTGGCCCGTGGCCCCTGTAGCCCGTGGCCTGTGAGCGTCTTGGAGACACAATTCGTTTCCCATTGCCTTCAGCGAATAATGGGGATTCCATGCTCTTGCTCGAATCGCTCGCAGTTGTGGCGGCTCCTTAGCGTCTCTTCGTGCTCCGGCCCATATCTCTCCTGCCGTCAGGATACCAATACCCTCCAACGAGTTCGGCCGTTTAATGGTCAAGTTGACAGCACACACAGCAACAGCGAACACAATTTGAAGATACTGTATGTTTTAAAAGGCTTCTGGAATTTAGCTAAAACGTCTAAGATTGTTGCACAGAAATGATCTCAGAAACACTGACCCACTGTCGATCTTGAGACTCTAATATCAACTAGGTGGCTTGTCAGTGACTATTTTTCTCCCATATGTCCGTCCCGACCCTCACAAAGGCCTCCATGCCATGCAACTCGCGGAGATAGAGCTGCCCCGCCTGGAAGTGATGCGGTACACGGGGTGGGTGGCGGGCCACTCGGGACCCAGCTTGATGGGTTCCAAAACATCTGCCCAGTGGGAACTCGCAAAATCTCAGTATCAGTTTGACATCCCTAGATCCTTGATGAATTTATGTTCTGGTAAATGTCCAAATCCATGTTTTTAAGGACCTTTAGGAATCAAGGTTAAGCAAAAAGTAAAAATGCAACTAAACCTGAATCTGAAACCTTCAAAAACCAATTCTTTCCAAAACCAATGAAATCATGAGATCTGTTCGTTTCAGGAGGACATCACTTTGTATACCACTTACTCAACTTTCCACATTTTCAGCCCTGACACAAGCAGAACCACCCCAAGCAACCACACAGTCGACCGGACGCCCTCGCCTCTCCAAAGGAGCCTTTGGCCTCCAAAAGAGCTGCGAGGTTGTAGACGGATCCGAGGGTTGTTGGATGATGCATGCCCAGCTGACCCTCTCGCCCGTCCAGGGCCCTACGAAGAAGGTCCTCTGCCTCGCGCAGGACGCTGTGATCGGAAACTTGTGCGGGGCAATGTGTTGGATGGATGGTGCTGGGGTATGCCTGATTGATCCTGTTTCAAAAATGCCTGTAGTCCAGAGTTTAAAACCGCAATTCTGCTCTGCGTGATCTTCCGACATATAGCTTCTTGGGATCGCGTAAGTAATTTGGCGCACATGAGCGATGCATCACGCATTAAACTACTTCGACTTGGACAAAGCGTCCTACCAGTTCCTGTGTTGGGCTGTCCAGGTTTACATGTTCGTCCTGTTAGTGCGGACGATCCTTGCTCTAGCGGGGTGCGAGACTTGGAAGGCTTACATATTCCCAAGTGTCAATTCTTGCAAAACAATGCTGATCCATAAGCCCTTGTACAAGATGCATCTACGGCTGTCATGATCCAACACCGCAGCCAAACTAACAGCCCGATCTGGCAGGTTGTCTATATACCGCTGAAGCTTGGATTCCGAAGAAACAGCGTCGGGAATTCGTGACACTGGCACTTCTCCTTTTGCTTGACCTTTGGGGGTCAATTTGCCAACTTCATCCACAACTATGCTTGGGGGCGCTCTATTTCAATGGGGCTCCTTAGGCAAAAATTATCGTAAAAACTGGGTGAAACTGGGAAACAAGAAAATTCATCCGTCTCTTCTCCGCCCACACCAGGAATGCCTTCCCCTCAACACTTCCGCCAGGAAGGCCACCTCTCACCAAACCAAAGAAGTCAGACCGGCCTCCTCCATTTTGCCCAGTTTCTGCAAGAGAAGGGCCAAGCTGTTCGCGTATGCGAGCGTTTCGGGATGTTGCGGTCCCAGTTCTCTCTCTCCACCTGCCAAGGCCCGGCGGAGCTGCTTTTCGGCCTGGCGGCTTGAGATGGAGCCCAAAGGTGTCGAAACATGTAGGCCCCAGGTCTGGTGGCTGCGTAGCTGATTTATGGATAGGGAAGAAAAGGTCAAGGTCAACGAGGGTCACAGTTCTTGGACTAGAGTTAGAAAATAAGATTCCAAGCACGTGCCAAGCTCTCTGAGAAGTCACCACGATCAGCTTTAGAGGATCCCCTAATTGATCAAAGAACTTGTGTGGAATGGTTTCTGATATCCTGCACCTCATACAAGTATGTGCACAGTACAGAATGTGCTACAATACAAGGCTTTTCATGGATTGTAGAATTTGGGCCCTGGCGGCGTGCCTTTCTCCAATTTCAAGGGAACGCCCCGGTGGGAAATGCTGCCCCTTCAAACTTGTCAAGCACTTGTCAAGCGATCTTTATGTTTTGACAAACAGCTCTCATGAAACAAACCCAAAATGACCACGCAAGCGGCAATGGCCCGGAAGATCTGCCATGCCAAACGCCCTTCAAGACATTAATACATTATGAATTTAACGGGAATAGCATTGCTAAGAACCAAAAAAACCTTTGCTAACATCATGTGGGCAGTCTGGATTATAGAATATCATTATACATAGCGAGAAATACTCTACTCACAGGTTCAGTTGAACTGGTGATGTTGTCACAATCAAGCAGGTGCCTCTACCGTCATGTTAAATCAATCAGATCAAACCAATTTTGAAGACTTCAGATGGCATTGGGATCATTGGGGACGCTGAGCCTGTACCATTTGGCAACCTTTTGGCCACTTGCGCTTTGCTCAGTGTTTTGAAGACTGCTTCCCAAACCCCTTTGACGTGATCAGTTCATAGCGCATGGCATGATGTGTGATCTCTGTTTCTTCTTGCAATGTGTAATGACAAGATCCACCTTTGAGGCTAGGTGCCTGGGCAGTCACCAGTCTGAGTCTGTCTGTGTAACATTTGAAACGCAAAAGTAAACTACCAAAACTTGCCCCCGGTCCACATGAAATGTTGAGGCCAAATATAAATAAGGGACCTATTTAATGTAGAGATCGCACCCTGCCGAAAAAAAAACATATTAATGGTCTTCATGGAAGTGCGTTGGCATCACTGTGCTGTCGGTTCCCCAGCGCGACTTCACAAGCCATGCAGTTCCCTTCTGCTGTAGCGAATATTGAAAAGTCTTCAAATCATGGTGAACTCTTTTGACAGGTTGATGAAAGGTGATTTTACTTCTCATGAACCTCTGCTGTCGCTTCACCCCATCACGGAGTGAGCACATGCTGGGGCGGTGTGGGAAACAAAGACAAATACCTAATTTCATTACTGCGCTTGTCTTCTCTCAAGCTTCCGGGCTCTGCAGATTCTTTTGCCGTGAACTTGAGCACCAGTCGTTTCGAGAATGCATCACATAGTGATGGCTGGTGCTGAAATCTGATCCTCATTAGATTGAAACAAATAGATGTTTCAAAGTTACATTTCACCCAAAACAAGAAAAGAGCTATATATATATATGTATATATATATATATACCTTTCCTGGTCTGTAGTTCACCCGACACATACAGTATAGTCCGGGAAACAAGGCAAAACCAAGCCTTTACCGCTGGCCTAACCAGAAATTACATTCCCTGCCAACTCAGGGCCACCTCTCTTTACCCCAAAGACCTTGGCCAAGCCTCATGCAATTTGCCCTGCGTCTGCAGGAGGGCAGCAAGGTGGTTGATCGACTGAAGCGTGTGGGGATGGTTCGCCCCCAGCTGCGCTTCCTCCAAGGCGAGGGCTTTGCACTGCAGCTTGTCCGCCTGGCGTCTCGAGATCCAACCGGTGGCATGGGCATATGGGGAATCCCAAGCCTCGTGTCCTGCAAGTGATTTATGGAAGGGATAAAGTGAACAAGATCCACATCTCGTAGGAGTTGAAAAAATGCCAGCGCCAGTCAAATACTCTCTGTATTCACGGCGGTATGCAAAATACCATATCAATATCAATTGCGCATATTTGGTGGGTTGCCAATTTCAACTGGGAAATTATTAGGAACAGTTTCGTGGATGGAGGTCTAGAAGATGTCCTGTGTTTATTTGGCATGTGCCTATATAGGTATTAATGTGCGCTATATAGTATATAGTTCACCGGAACGATAAAATCCAACAATCCCGGGAAACAAGACAAAATCCAGGCCACTGGTCCTGGTCAAACAAAAAAGTGCATAAAAATGCACTATTGAAACTTCCGCGAGAAAGGCCACCTCTCTGCACTCCAAATGACATCTTCCCGGCCTCCTCCATCTTCCCCTGCTGCCGCAAGAGCACCGCCAGGTTGCTCACGGAGGTGAGCGTCTCCGGGTGGTGCGCACCAAGCCTCACCTCGCGCGCACGAAGACATCTGCGAAAAAGGGCCTCCGCCTGGCATCTGGAGATGGCGCTCGTGCTGTGGGGACATGGGGCGCAGGCCTGAGGCCTCCTGCCTCCTGCGAATAGCATGTGGAGAGGGAAGAAAGATGAGCAACGGCCTTGTGTTTGCACTGATAAAAAAAACTGCAAGCACAAACCAAACAGTTTAACGCTAGTCAAATCGATGAATTGACATTTCAACACAATCTGACTTTGAGTCAGCTCAGTTCCAATCTTAAATTACTGACCTCAGACAGAAGCTGCTACCACGGGTATGTATCTGTTCTTTGAAGACATGTTGTCTGATTTTTCTGGAACTTTGACATGTCCTTTTGGAATTTCTTTGGCACTTCTAACTTTGGCACTTCTGCAAAAAAAGAACTATTGTGAATTTCTGTTGTTTTTGTCAGACTGTTTCCACCATAAAACGCAGCCCAACCCAATCGCCACGCCCACTCTGCAGCACGGCTCAGCGGCGCCTCTGAGAGCTTCCCCAGGCGGTGCTCGGGGCCCCAGCGCCGCTCCCGGGCGTCCAGGACTCGGCGCCGCAGCGGCTCCGCTTCCGCGAAGGCACCGCGGTGCATCAGCACGTGCGCGAGCCTCAGCCATAGGGATCGCCACGGGATCCGAAAGTTTCCACGCTTCGTGGGGAGGAGAAGGCTTTTAACTTCATGGCTCCGTGGCAGATTTTGGATCCAAATCTCTGGTGACTCTGGTGCGACAACACAATTGTCTTTTTCGAAAGGTGATGTTGATTTCCCTTGTGTATAGTTGTTGGTTGCTTAAAATTCAACTCGTGATTTACTGTTGGGTACTGCAATCTATAGCCACCCAACCGTGGAGTTCAGGGAGGAAGTTCCACACGGTGCTTTCCACCTGTTTGCAAGCCTGTTTGCGATCGCTTTGGCAGAACTGAGATCCCCACCGGCTCAGTGCCAAAAGCGCTTCGTCGTGCTCGGGGCCCAATCTTTCGGCTGCGGCGTCTGCACGGCATCGCAGCCTTGGTCCACGACAATGTCCATCACACGGCTGGAAGCCCAAACCCAGTGCCATTTTGCGGCCAGCTATTTCGCCAACTGTTGTGACTTGATGCAAAAGCCAAAGACATAAAATCTGACACCCCGTAGTCTGAAGTGAAGCCTGCTTGCTACAGAGCTAAAGTGGTTGGCCATGTGCGGCCCATGTTTCGAAGACAGGATCTAAAATGATCTACGTAGGACAGGAACCCAAGCCAAGACAAAACGAGGCTGGCCGAGTACATCACATTAAGAACAGCAAGGATTATAGTGGAGACACATGAGCGCAGACACCCCTTGAAATCCACAAAGGAGCAATGTTCGGGATCCACAACTGATACAAACCAGGGCCTACCTCACATGCTCCAGGATTTGGACAGGGCCTGTGCGCAGAATCACCACGGCTATAGACTTCAAGCTGAAGGGTTCAACCAGCGCAACATCTGCACTGTTCCAACCCGATTTTCCCAGCAAAGATCAAAAAAATGTGGGCCAAATGCAGAAACACGGATGACAATGACAAATAATAATCAAGCAACAAATTAGGTTCGCAGCCATAGGCAGTAAAGGCAAGATGAGGGCAAGACAGCATATGAGAAAACGCGTCTGGCTGCATCAAAGACGCTTGCAACTATTGAAAAACATTTTGGTTCGACTACTGAGCATTCAATGCTAAGGTGGGTTGACCCCTATAGCAAGAATGCAACATACAAAAACAAACTCAAAGCAGTGCAAGTCGTGAAGAGAGCCAAATGCTCTGTTACAAATCTCTTTCAAGGGGGTCGAAACTTCTTAATGAGAATCTAGGAGTGTTGAAGACATCCAAAACTGTTTGTAGCACATAGCATGTTTACCCGGATACGTTGCCCCTCTGAACCCAAAGTTGCGCAAGGCCATGCAAAACATTGGCAGGACTTGGCAGTGTGTTGTTAGGGACATTGGAGCTAGCATGCAGGTACATGGTCGTCTTCTGTTGTAATTTCAAACAGAGGGCAAGACTTTGCTGGGGCAGGCCCGCATCACGTCCTCATGTGTGTAGCCAGCTTTCTGCGCCCAATTCCCAGTCGTAAGGTGCAAAACACATTCGGACAATTGTGGATTTCGTTTTGAACATAGCACATAGCTGCAGAAGGAGTACGAATAGAAGGGACCAGTCCACATCTCCAATTTGAGAACCCATCAAAGGCAAGGCGGCAAGAAGTACTGTCTGTATCAAGAAGTTGTCAACCCAGCTGGTTATTTGTCCAATAGAATATAGAAGTGTTTACAAGTAACACACCCCTATAATTTGTAAAATATCCTTGTTGAACAGCTGTAAACCCTGGAGAAAGGACCAAACCTCAAGCCCCCTTGAAAGCAGCCAAGCCTCGTGTCCAACAGTATAGCCCTGGCGTTGCCCACTCCATCCTCCCTTTCCACGCGGATCACCACACACTGCCTTTCTGGCTGCCCAGGTTCATTGAGCTGCTTTCCTGCCAGGTTCCTGAGAAACGGACTTGAAAGCGATGTCTAAATCATTGCGCTGCCAATGGCTCTCAGACGAAGCACGCAGCAACTGGGCCCCCGGCACGCCGGGAGGCATGCCCTGGCAGAGCAAAGTCACTTTGCAAGCAATGTTCGGCACATTTCACATCAAAACCTCCATTTTTTCTTCTTTGGTTCAGCTTGGACAAAGCAAACAAATGCTGCTACCAGCCTTCTCAAGCATCTCCGGTGTCTGTCGAACCGAGACATCGTAGCACATCATGGCGTTGGCCAATATTGGCATACAGTAAGCCACACGGGAGGCGTACTCCTGCATGACTAGACCCAACTTTGTTCAGCTTTCAATCTGTCCAAACAGTGACAACACTTAGACGCCATTTGCACATGCACAGGTTGGAGAAAAATGTTGCATGCAAATGCAGACAATAAATGTGGGACATTGGCATCTCAAACGGCACGCTCTCCTGATCTGCAAACTCGCTTCCTTTCAGTTCCACGTCTCTTTTGTACACATTTCGATAATTATTGTCAATGATGGCGGCCACATCTGGCCATTGGTGGGGAGCCTTTGCTACGCAGTAGACTCCTAGCCGGAGTTGACTGCAGGTGACGGCAGTGGACAAGAAGGTTCCAAGAAGGCCGTCACTCATCACACAAAAGACTTGCAGCAGGCGGCCTCTTGTGCATCACCACATCTCACTGGGGACTCTGGACTGAAGTAAGCGCTTACATTTAGACAATTGTGGCACACAAGTTGCTGCAAAATAGCGCACACGCATGCGCAATCAAATTTGCCTCGTCCCCACCAAGCATTAGTTTTTTCACCTTCTGTATGAAGGGAAGCCTTGGGAATCGGCAGAGTGAGCAGGCAGAGAAAGAAATTACACCGGCAAAAGACCCAAAGAGTGTGGGGGGTAGGAAGTCAATGCACCAGATACAAACAATTGTAGTTTTGGAACAGTACTGTATCGGAACTGCAGCAACTGGAATTTGTTTTGGCACAATTAAGAAGCAACGCTATGTGTGCTCATCAGGACCTCATGCCCGAACCTCATGCCAGGACATCTAAGAGAATGTCAAGAGATCACATTAAAGAACGACCTTGTACATGGAGGATCTCACAAGATCTTCATACAAATTAGCATCTCAGAAGTTTCATTAACATCTCAGAAGAAGTTTCTCAGAAGAAGTTTCAAGATAAAAATGCAAGGACCGCTTGCGGAGGACTTCAACAGGATTTCCGCAAGATCTTCCCACAAGGACCTGTACTTGTTGGAGATCACGCGAGGATAGCGAGAGGATTTCACCAGGACCTCTTCAAGATCTTCTGACAAGGACCTGTCCAAGATCATGCAAGGACATCTTACAGGATTTCACCCGGATCTTCAAGGACTTCTCGCAAGGACCTGTACAAGATCATGCAAGGACCTCTGACAGGATTTCATCAGGATCTTCACAACATCTGCTCACAAGGACCTCTACAAGACCTTGGTTAAAATCTTCATATTTTACGGACCTCTAAGACTGCAACGCGAAACTATTGCCAGATCGTCATATAGAAGGACCTTCCAGAGAATTCATAAGATCTCTTTTCCAGAATCGCAAGGAATCAGCCAAAATCAGCACCGCGCCACAAGGAGAGCGATCCGACACGCACAAACTGTGAAGAGAGGGTTGCGTGAGCGATATCCCAATTCGCACTGCACCACAAGGAGAGAGTCCTGACACGCGCAAAGTGCCGAGAGGGTTACGTGAGCAATATCAAAATTCGCACCGCGCCACAACGAGAGCGATCCGACACGCACAAAGTGCCGCCAGGGTTTCGCGAGCGATATCAAAATTCGCACCGCGCCAAAGCGACAGCGATCCGACACACCTAGGTTGCGCGAGCACATGTTAGATTTTCGCAAGACATTGCGCTCACCACGGAAAAATTAACATTGAAAATGTCAAAAACGACGTTTTACCGAGGTCTCAGCCACTTTTTTGCCGAGGTCTACATACTGCGCCTGCCACAAAAAAACCGGCGCGAGGCATCCGAAGTGCCGCACCTGCAGCACGGAATCATCATCATGTCCGAAATCAAAAATGACGATAGTTTCACAGAACGAGACTGCACCTGAAAAGGTGTCCGATGTCCTGCACCTGTCATGCAAAAAGGATGTCCCAGACCTCAAGTGTCCCGGATGCCCCGCCTCACACGAAATGGAAATATTTCCAAAAACGAGTCAAAACTTAGCTTTACCTTTTGCGCTAGCCTGCGCAGTCAAAATGCACATGGACATCTTAAAAGCCATTTTATTCGAGAATTTACAGGACAAATGCCGTGCCCCAAGAACGGCACCCCTGTTTTGTGCGAGCCTGCACAGTCGACATGGGCATGGACATCTCACACGAGCCATTTTACGCAAGAATTTACAGGAAAAAGGCCGGAGATCAGATGGAGCACCCTAATCTAACCCCAGCCTTTTAACCCCTACCATGAGAACCCTCAGTGTTGTCGCTGTTTGGGTTTTTAAAAAAAACTCACACGACATGCTGAATGACAACTGAGCCCAAGACCAAGACGCTCGGAGCAGTGATGCTTCGGAACCCCAACTGAGACGTGTAGTGGAAGAGGCACTTGACTTCGCCAGTTCCACCGGACTGTGTGAGGTCCAGGGCATCCTGCCACACCTGCCAGGAGCTGCTGCTGGGGGTTACGCCGAGCCTGCTGCGTCACACCAAACGGGTTAAAGCACGACAGGCGTGCCTTGATGCCTGATTTCTTGTGGATCCAGCACCAACCGTCCGCGTCATGCTTGTACGCGTCGTGCTGAAAGCCGCCGCCGCTCTTGTAATCCTTCAAGAAATACTCGATGAGACTGGCCTCAAGCAGTTTTCTGGAGGAAACATTCAACTGTTTCGGATGGAAAAAACATATTAACGATCTTAAGACACTGGAAGGCATGTGTCCGTTTTGGCGAAAGGTCATGAACATGGAAGTTTCCGCGGGTGCAAAATTAAGCTCAATGGAACTATATGTGATTTTGAAAAATAACCGTTTTCTTAAGACCCTGGCTGCTCGAAAAGGGGCCAGTGCACAGCGCATGTAAGATGGACACCCATTTGGGGTTCTAACATGTTTCAACTGCAACAAAGCGCATTCCCCAAAACAGAAATCGTTCAAGGCGCCTGGGGCCTTGCTCTGATGCCATCCCGGTGTGCCTCAAATACTTGAAACATCGTGAATTACATGCTTGCACAACATCAAGCTTCCGAAAATCCTTCAACATCAAAACTTCCATGATAATCCAATTTCCATCAGCGTTTTAAGGGGGGAGGTAGCGTTCCCCCTGCTAGGGCTAAGCTAGAAGGCTGTGAGCACTCGTAACCATGCTACAGCATGCTACAGCGGCGAAGCACGGTTTTTACCAAGTCTTGAGCGACGGAGTGGCGTGGTTCGTGAAATGAATGATGTGATCGATCGACGTGCATGTACAAGCACTACTAGATCTATATACTAGCAATTGAACCGTCTAGGCTAGGCACGTGACTAGAATACAAAAACGGATCACATACAGACACAATCTTTATTGATTTTGTTCGGCCTATGAAACCTCTGAGGTACCCAAGGTCTGAAGATTTTGGTGAGTGCAGATCTGTCTGAAGATTCGCAGTTTTTGTGTTATTTAAGTCTTTGTTTTGGTATCTAAAATTCTTCAGGCGTTAGGTAACTCTGAGGTACCATAGCAGGTCTGCAGATTTTGGTTACCAGGATACCATAGGTCTGATTTTGGTGACCATAGGCCTGAAGATTTTTGTTTTTTTTCCTATGTCTTCGGTTTAATATCAAAAATTCTTCGGGCCTATGTGCCTCTGAGCACGTATGGAATCTGAAAGCAACATGCACAGGAATCTGAAAGGGAGGAGTCTGAAAGCAGCTGCAACCAGGCTTGAATCGGCCAGTATGTGAAGGTCTTATCTTTCAGTCACTCCATTTGAGATATCACCTCTACGCAATGCCTTTGGAAACCATAAACTGACCGTGTTTCAGGACCGCGCTTTGTGCATGAGGGAAAAGGAGAACTGTTTTAGGGGGGAGGATTACGTTGCAAATCGAGCTGGTTTGGCAATATCAGTGCCAAGCGACCATGGGGTCGAAACGAAGCTTGTCAGCATCTGCTTTGGAAATGTTGGCCGAAGTATCCCACACCCACGAACCACGAAGCGACAATGGAGAGGTAGCCTCAACGGCTTCAGGGGTTGCGAAGTTTCAACCCAATGGCACTCTTTGGTCACTAACCTTCAGTTTTGCTTTGGATGAACAATAACTGTCTCTTAGCAGAAGAAAAGCTCGAAGGCCTCTGGCATGAAAGCAAACAGCCTCAGCCTTTCAAAACAAACAGCTACACCGTAGAAGGCATTCTGACACATTCTGACACACTATGCTACTAGGTTGCTTTCGTTTTTCATCGGAAAGGCCTGCACTCTTTGAGCATATACTCTAGGACAGATTCCCTGGGAATTTCCTTGTTCGTTGTTTATCGGGAACTGTGACCGCAAACTTGGACTGCCAACTATTGCCAGGTCAGGAAATATCATTGCAATGGTCACAGGGTTCCCCAAATTTCATGCGGGGGCAAGAAGATTTGACTGAAACCAAAACCTTACGTTGACATAAGCTGGTGATGAGGAAGTCATGGAAGAACCCCTTGAGCAAAACATTATAAAACATTCACGGCACACTCCGCGCACCTTGGTGTCCGCTTCTTGATTTGAATCAGCTTCGGATTGAGCTGCTTCCTCGGGCAAACCCTGATTTCTGATGCTCATGCGGCACCCCTTCGGACAATGCCTGTCCGATCATCAGATCTATGACCAAAGCCCTTACGTTCGTATAGACAGACAAAGGTCAAGCATGTTAGTGGCTCTAATAGACTCTAATATGTGATGGTGAAATATGAAAATCTATGAAATACTTCTCCAGCCCTTCCGTTTGGTTGGTTAACTTGGTCCAGCTTACCACCAAGAGTCCATCACTATTCGCAGAGCTGCATCCTCATTGATCTCCGATTCTGCATCACCCAATCGAAAGGTCATCTCCCGGAGTTTCAGGGTAGTGAGGTACGCCAACCAACCACCCTGGACCAATCGGTCCACAACTATGGCTTGCAGCTGTGCTCTTGTGATCGCGTGGTACAACCGTGCCCTAGTGAAATTGTCAAGTTCACCAGCGATTTCCACATCAAATCCAATGCAAACGACAAACAAAATCTCCAAACCCGTCGCGTTGCTGTCCCAGTCAAGGATAAGTTCATCTCTTTTCCTGTCCTGATGTGCCGTCTCCGGTAAGAAGCGTAAAGAATCCTCAAATGAAATGAGATGAATGTTGTAAGATGGTGCAAAAGCTGCTTCTAGGCGATCCTCAAGATGGAACCTGAAACGCCTGTAGAACTCTTCATCTGGTACAAGCAATGCCACATGCCTATCGAGCCTAATACTGGGGTGTGTGCACATAATGAACCACAGTGCTTTCACTGTATGATCAGCAAATTGCGTAAAGAAGTCGTGATCGACCCCTTTGGGGGACTCGAAAATGAATGACTTCAATGGAGGACCAGTTGTGCCAAGACATGTGATTGGCTCATCTTGTAGTTGAAATGCATTGGCTCCAAGTACAAGTCGTTTTGTACTGCGCACCACCTCGGTGAGATGCACCCGGCGCATTTCAGGATACTTGGTTTCCAGTAAGAAGGACTGGGAACGGTCTGAAAGTACCAATTTGCGCTGGGCATGAACTTCCTGGAATATGCCCTGATTCGTCCTGAATATTGCATGAGCCTCATCAAAAATTGCGAGAACCAAATCATCTGGCATAGCCTTCAATTCCTCCAAAACAATGTACGAGTCTGCAGCAATCTGTGCTCTCGTGAAGCTGTCATAGGGCGCGTGCATGAAAACAAGCCTTTGCAATAGCTTGTTTCTAGACACCTTTGGTAGTGAAGACCTTGCATGCATTAGCAGCCAATGGACGAAATGAAAACACAGGGGGCGGTTCGGGGAGATGAAGAGGATCTTCCCCTTGCTGCTCGACCGGAGTTTGTTCATCGCGTGCCGGACTGCCAAAAAAGTCTTCCCTCCTCCAGCTGGGGCCGACAGATGGACGTCTTCATGTAAATATCTGGAAAGTTCCTTGAGTTTCTCCGTTTGGTGATCCGTCAACTGTGAGAAAGTCAGCAGGCTTGCCGCGTATTGTTGAAAAAACACGGTGTTATCCACGGCCAGCTGCTCTGTAAATCCACGTTTTTCCAAAGCATCATTCAGTGAAACCACCAAGTCATCACCCAGCACCGCATCTCTCAACTGGTGCCTTTCTTGAATGCAAGTAAGATCAAAATCCACTGCCAAGGAAAGCATGCCATTCTGAAGTCGTGACTCATATATGGACTTTACCTTGAGCTTCGTTGCATCCTGTACAATCTTCTCCAAGGAGTCCTTTCCAAATACGCCCAAGAGCTTCTCAAAAAAATCCGTACCATGCCGCAAATGCTTGGTCTCAAATCGCTTCCATGTTTTCTTGCACACCACCTGCCATTTCATCTCAAGGTGGTTCTTGGCGTCATCAGGAGCCGGCGTTTGGAGAAGTTCGGCCGTGACAAACCTATTCTGATCTGAGTCAAATGCATCGACAATATCCCCAGGTTTGAATTGTGCTATCAAGAAGTCCGTCACGTCGACTTCGTCGTAATCCCATCTGCCACTGCGATCTATGCGTCGCATCTCGTCTAGTTTGGCGATTTCACCCTTTTGGGAGCCACCGCACCCATTTCCATCCACAGGTTGACCTTTGGAAGCATCGACCAAGCGACTTTGCCACATCCTACTTGACGGGGGAAATAAACTACTTTCAATCTCTGCCCAAGGTCTACTGCTGTCTTCACCCGACGAAACCACTTCTCAAACCAAGCGCAGCCCCAGCTTGCTCGCTTTTTGTTCTTCTCCCACAGTTTCTCAGCCTGTTTTCTATCTTTGTCGGAAGCCTGTCCAAAAACAATATGACTATTCATCGCTTTTGCTCGTTCTCTGTGTTTTGCTCTCTCGGGCTCGGTGCATGTATCTTTTACCTCTTGGAGGTAGCCGAGATCTTTGTAGTTGCGCTCACCATAGATCTCTGCACAAAGACATTGCTCTCCGTTGCTGTTTGGAAAATGATGTTGGCCAAGCCCATTCTTTGTGTCGCAAAGGAACACGCACGCTACAGAGTCGTCATGGTGTTTACTAATCAAGGATTCCCAGGCTGTTGCGTACTTCCCTGGGAATGAGACCCAGCAAACTTTGGCATTGGGATTAATTTTTCCGAGATAGCTGTCGCCTCTGAAGGAAAGGACTGCAGGACTCTCTTTCAGAATGAAGTGAAGCGTGCTGGTCTCCTAGCAAAGCGTTCTTTCTTGCAGGATAAAAACCTTGCTCTCAGATCAAAAGCATCAACTTCAACTCTGATAAGAATGGTTGGCATCAACTGATAAGAATTGTTGATATGGCGGTAAAATTCCACAGCAATGTGTAAAGCCGTTCCAAATATTGTCTATGTGACACCCGTGGAAATATGCAGAACGCATCATGACGTGTACCCTCTATGCCAAGCCGATTTGCCCGTGCAAAATCAAAGCACAAGCACCTATTCCAGAAGTCGCGGAATTAAAGCCACTCCCAATCCTACATGATTCGTTGACTTGAACTGTACACTGCTACGTTTTCCAATTATGAACAAAACTCATGTTCTGGTTTCTTCCAGTACGCGCCTTTAGAGGTTCACGCTCCGGCTGTTGACCGAATTCAGCCTCAAGATTCACTCGCAGTTGCATGGTTTTGTTTGTTTTTTGAAACAAAACTTTGAAACGAAACCAATCTTTGAGAGAACCAACCGCCACATGACAAACAAAGACTGGGACCGTGGCCCGGGAGGCTGTAGATCCCATGGTTCGCCAACACCATAATATTTTTAGCCAAAATCTGCGGTCAACAGATCATCTGTTTTCAGGCCAGAAGCAAACTCGAGCAATCGGTGTACCTCCAGATAACGCAACACATCGCTACTCCATGACCTGCTGCCGCCTTTTTCATTCGCGAAAGGATATCGGAGCTGCGCAACTCTCTTGAAGAATTTGTTTTTCGCGAGATCTTCAAGGATACACGATGGCGATTCACCGATGGGAAAATGCCTAAACCAAGCATGATGTTTGGTGGCTCGCTGCATTCATCCAACGGGTTGTGGATTGCAGGATTCGACAAGGCCTCTAGCACTGCAACTACAATGATCTACAGTCAGTGTCCCAAATATTTTGCTTTACTTCGCTTAGATTTTGCTGGATGAATGGTATTTGGAGCCATGATTATGGTAACTTCGACCTAACAACTTGGAGCTTTCTGCAAGTCACCAATCATCTGAGCTTTCTGTGTCGTATTTCATCTGACCAAGACTGTCCTAGCTGCGAATTAGTTGGCCACTCAATCCACTAGGAAGAGGACACAATGACTGCTCCTCACATCCTTGGAAAACCCATGGAAGAAGGGTCGGATTCGGCAACTCTCCACCATGAGACATGTATCATATATGGCAGTTCTATGCGGTTCTCATTCTCATAGTGTATATAATTACAATTGATCTTCATGTTGCTTATACTGATACTATACAGCAGTAATCATGTCGTCGTTTTCTCGTTTTGCTGGAAATAAACATAATCCAAAGTGATTCAACATGACAAGAAGAATCTAAACAAAGGCCAGGTCGAAATGAAAGCAACATTCATGATGCATAACTGCTGAACAACCAAAATATGTTTGCTGAAGGCAATAACTATATAACTCTGCTGAAATTCTGAAAGCTTCGAAGAACCTCTCATTCTATCTCAGAATCAGGGACTCAAAGACAGAGCTACGTGAAAGAAATGCCTGTGTCCAAAGCAATTACAGTACCTCAAAGTACCTTCAACACAACACCTTCAAGAAAGCCCGATGGGTTTTGCACCTGAGAGGCTCCACAAATTGAACCCGGCGATGGTCTACCGAACCAAGCTTGATGAGGGTTGCGGAATGGTCAAAACGTCACATCTCTCAGTGGAAAACTAGTCAATCTGCCACTACAAGATCTCTTCAAGATGCCAACACAGTCAACAAATATCAACACTGTTTTTGCATGGATTAAGGTAATGACACACAGACATTGGAGATATGACAAAACAAGATCACAACTGGTCAAACCATGTCAAACCTTGTCAAGAGATGGAATCACAAAGATGTGCTTAGCGGCTATTTTTAGCACGCAGGCCATAGCAATACATCAGAATCCACAGCTTTGTACGTCAGAGCTTCATTGACATAAAGAATGTGAGGTGATCTACGTCGATGCAGCCACTTTTGCCACCCACACCATTCTATCACAGCCCACGGCATCATCTCAGGTCGAAGGCTCGAGTTCGGTTTTGCAAATACTCTGCTACTGCAGGTTTCCCAGTCAAAAATGGCAAAGATATTCAAAGAACAATGTTTTCTGTGTCCAGTGCACATAGCCAAGGCCAAAATCACCACTTTCCAGGCTGTCGCAATGTTCAGGACTGCTAAACAAGCTTGGGATTCCCCTTCCAGAATGGCGCAAATCTATCCAAATCGGATTACAAATCCATAAATTCCACATCTCTCGCAGAATTTGCAGAGTGGCAATGGAAGTCTTTGGATGCTCGATCACACATGGCCATGAGTTTGGCACATCTAGAATTTCCAGCACCCACCCACAAGAGCACCAGCAGCCCAGCAAACGCATCAGCAAGCCGAGTGGGTCCCGCGGAAAGGTTCGAGTACTCCCCGATCGGAGAGGCGTTTCCATCAATATGGCCTTCAGCTTCGCAAGATTTTTTCGCTCAAATGGTCACTTGACTTTGCACGGCCACCAGCCATCAAATCAGTTTCTAGAGAAACTTCATGTCCAATGCCAAGCGCAGAATTGGAAGTGAGATTTACTGTACCTGAGCAAAGCGCCACGCCAGGACGATGAGATCATAGTCCACTGCCAGCTTGCAGCACTTTCCGAACTCCTGCTTTCTTTTTGCCAAAAAAGTGTCGACTTCAACAGCCACCCGCACTCATCCACGAGCTCATAGTGGCTTTCCTGTGGCTTTCCACAGGCAGGACCTTGAAATCTGACTGTTCTGCTTCAGGCAACAACTTCTTTACGTCGGAGATCGAAGTCCAGTTCCAGCGGAACTTGGACTTAAAGACGTCCACATACAGAAGTTGCTGCCTCAGGCAGAACAATATTAGACAATACCCTCTGGTAAACTAACATAACTATGGAAAATCACCATTTTCAATGGGAAAATCCACTATAAATGGTCATTTTCAATAGCTATGTTAGTCATTACCAGAGGGTAATAGCTGAAGTCGGACACGACGTATGAATGGATTGGAAGGCTGGATCGCTGCTTCGCTGGGTGGTCGGCGGCACTTCAGGATAACGAGACATTCGAAGTCCGCTGCTGCCAGTTCGCGAGACTTTCCCAAGCCAGTCTCCTCGGAACAGGTTTTGGGAACGCGAGTCAGGCAGGGATCACACTCATTTTGTAGCCATACACTTTCCACAAACCTGTGCCGCAATGAGAATTCATCGAACCCCCCAGAAACGCTTGGGACTGTAGTTCTCTCATCACAAAATAAAGCAGTCCTGCACGGAGGGTTGTGCAGACAGGAATCCACAGCATCCCGAGCCACGCCATTCCGCGCCGATCTGACTTAGATTGATACGTCACAAAACCTGGTGGCTCATTCGAATTCTTAATTTGCCTCAGATTGTTTATTTGTGTGGAAACATATGTAAAAACGCTACTTGCACTTAGTGTCCGCTTTGCTATGGGATCAAACTATTAAAACGAGCATCATGAAAACCTGCGACCCCTTGCGTCATTTGTTTCCTTGAAGCTGAAAGGAAGACCACAAGGGGAAAAAAAACATGACCCTTAGCAATCATCGGGTCACAATACTTAGCGAACATGGATCTTGACCCACAGCTAAATCGGCGTTCGAATTACTTGTCGATCAAGTTTTTAGGCTATGATTTAATGCCACTTGATGGTGGTGTTCAGTGCAACACATCTCCTTTCCTAGCAGGGTGTGCATATCGCAAGGAGGTCTCTCTTCTTCAGCCCCGTACTGATCTTCAGGCTTCAGGAAATTCTGAAATGTTGGAAGATGTTGGAAGTCACCATATCCAAAATGCATTTGGTTCACAAGGGTCCAATGGATCAATAATACTGAGACTGCGCTCGAGCAAGTTTTTCTGCAGGGTCTCAGCACAGGGCCACATGGCATATGTTTCTACCACGGGCGAAGCATTTCAGCATTGGTCACCTCAGATTGAAGGAACATCCATCCAGGAATCAAGGGTTCTGGACATGCATCCCCATGTTCAATTGTGCCTCGGACAAAGACACAGTAAGTCGATCTGCTTTAGTCTTCTTACGTGTGCGTTGGGGCCCCTCATCACACTGATTCGGCAATGGGACTAACTGAGTGCAAGGGTACGTTCCTTAGACAAAAGCACCAGGTTCCCCACAATCCGTCGAAAGCAGGATTCCGAGTGCCTTTCGCTGGGCATTTCAGAGAATGCAGACCACGGATGACCACGGTCCATTACAACTACAGATGTCGATTTGTAGCATTCCTATCCGAAGATACCGACGACACAAAGATACAACAGACAAATGGAATGAATACAAGCTAAGACAACATAAAACAATAACAATGTTGTCCATTCAATGTGCAAAAAAGAACAGAGCAGCCAATGACCAAAAACAACATGCAAAGAAAAGGGATGAAAAGGGTAATGATAGTGGTGATGTTCGATATCAACTGTATGCTATTATCGTGTTTGGGGTCTCTACGCGTCATGTATGTCCAACCGCAGACTTGTCCGTGCCCAGAAAATGCTGACATTGTGGAGGTCTCTATAGCGGGACCACACCCAACAGATTTTGAAAAAAATGTTTGGAACAGTGGGATGAAAGCCGACTGAGCCATCTTTTCCCACCTTAGCAGGCCACACGGCAAAGGTTTCTGCCATAGGCTGCGGAAGCGTCGGTCACCTCAAATTGATGGGATATCAATCTGGGAACGGATCAAATGATTCAACCACCTCTATATTTTTCCCGAGAGCGTCTGAGCGCAGGGTTCTTCCAATAGTGGGGGTCTGCAAAACATCTTCTCATCTTCACATCTTCTCATCTTCACATCCTCTCATCTTCACATCCTCTCATCTTCACATCTTCTCATCTTCACATCTTCTCATCTTCACATCCTCTCATCTTCACATCCTCTCATCTTCACATCCTCTCATCTTCACATCTTCTCATCTTCACATCTTCTCTTCACATCTTCTCATCTTCACATCTTCTCATCTTCACATCTTCTCATCCTCCCATTTCTCCTCATCTTCTCATCTTCACATCTTCTCACATCTTCTCACATCTTCTCACATCTTCTCATCTTCTCACATCTTCTCACATCTTCTCACATCTTCTCACATCTTCTCACATCTTCTCACATCTTCTCACATCTTCTCACATCTTCTCACATCTTCTCATCACATCTTCTCATCTCACACCTTCTCCTCTTGCCCTCTTGCCCTCTTGACATCTTCTCTCTGCCCTCTTGCCCTCTTGCCCTCTTGCCCTCTTGCCCTCTTGCCCTCTTGCCCTCTTGCCCTCTTGCCCTCTTGCCCTCTTGCCCTCTTGCCCTCTTGCCCTCTTGCCCTCTTGCCCTCTTGCCCTCTTGCCCTCTTGCCCTCTTGCCCTCTTGCCTCTTGCCCTCATTGCCCTCTTGCCCTCTTGCCCTCTTGGCCCTCTTGCCCGCTTGACCTCTTGCCCTCTTGCCCTCTTGGCCCTCTTGCCCTCTTGCCCTCTCTGCCCTCTTGCCCTCTTGCCCTCTTGCCCCTCTTGCCCTCTTGCCCTCTTGCCCTCTTGCCCTCTTGCCCCTTGCCCTCTTGCCCTCCCCCTTGCCCCTTGCCCTCTTTCCCTCTTGCCCTCTTGCCCTCTTGCCCTCTTGCCCTCTCCTTCTTTTCTATTTCTTCTTGAAGGCGGGAGCAGGGGCAGTGGCAACGGGACGGCACGAAACGCAACCCTTTCGCACGAAATGAGGTTCGATCGCCAAAAACTGAGGTAAAATTACGATTTCAACTTGTCCCGCGCAACCCTTTCGCACGAAATGAGGTTCGATCGTCAAAAACTGAGGTAAAATTGCGATTTCAACTTGTCCCGCGCAACCCTTTCGCACGAAATGAGGTTCGATCGTCAAAAACTGAGGTAAAATTGCGATTTCAACTTGTCCCGCGCAACCCTTTCGCACCAAATGAGGTTCGATCGTCAAAAACTGAGGTAAAATTGCGATTTCGTGTTTCCGGTGGACTGTTTCGCACGAAATGAGGTTCGATCGCCAAAAACTGAGGTAAAATTACGATTTCAACTTGTCCCGCGCAACCCTTTCGCACGAAATGAGGTTCGATCGCCAAAAACTGAGGTAAAATTACGATTTCAACTTGTCCCGCGCAACCCTTTCGCACGAAATGAGGTTCGATCGCCAAAAACTGAGGTAAAATTGCGATTTCAACTTGTCCCGCGCAACCCTTTCGCACCAAATGAGGTTCGATCGTCAAAAACTGAGGTAAAATTGCGATTTCGTGTTTCCGGTGGACTGTTTCGCACGAAATGAGGTTCGATTGTCAAAAACTGAAGTAAAATTGCGATTTCTGCGTAAAAGTGTTTGTGTGTAAAAGTGTTTCTGCGTAAAAGTGTTTGTGTGTAAAAGCTTCTGTGTGTACAAGCGTCTGCGTGTAAAAGCGTCTGTGTGTAAAAGTGTTTGTGTGTAAAAGTGTTTGTGTGTAAAAGTGCCTGTGTGTAAAAGCGTCTATGTGTAAAAGCTTCTGTGTGTCAAAGCGTTTGTGTGTAAAAGCAGCTCCTGTGTGTAAAAAGGTCTGTGTGTAAAAGTGTCTGTGTGTAAATGTGTCTGTGTGTAACAGTGTCCGTGTAAAAGCGTCTGTGTGTAAAAACATCTGTGTGTAAAAGCGTCTGTATGTAAAAGCTTCTGTGGGTAAAAGCTTTGTGTGTAATAGCCTCTGTGTAAAAGCTTCTGTGTGTAAAAGCTTCTGTGTGTAAAAGCTTTTGTGTGTAAAAGCGTCTGTGTGTAAAAGTGTTTGCGATGCAAACTATTGTCTTGCACTTCTCACTATTTTGTCTTGCTACTCCTCTTCTCGACTGCCTATAACACATCTTTCATATATTGTTTGTAAAATTATGTCTCCATACTAACAAGAGAAGACCCTGCTCCTCTACGCTCTCGGGCCATCCGTCGTCTAGTTCTATATAATGATCTTCGAGAAAAACCTTTCTTTATCGATCAGGAAATCATAGCAATGGCTCTGCGTGTATGTACATCCCACAGTAACTTGGAGGCAGTATAGAACCAACAACATCAGCAACTTTCTGGTCAGGTTTGGTCTTACACATTTAAGATTTAAGACGTTGCCACGAATACCTACAAAATATCGAAGGGATGTCAAGGGTACGATCTAGCCGGGCCAGGTTCCAGGCTGGAGCAAACCGCGACGAAATCCGGCCTGCGACCGGCTCGATTGATCGAGGCTCCCTTCTCGTAGCTGGAAGTGTTGCTTCATCAGTGTATTCAACTTAAATAACATTGATCTGGAAACATTTCCCTTAACGCGTCTCACCACCGTTCGCGACAGAAGTGTCCAAAGCTCTTTGTGGATTGAGTGAACATACAGCATCATGTCATATCATGTCATCTTTTGCCTCTGCTCACATGCACAGACACCATGCACATGACGGTTTGTCAAGATATGTACGAGTAAAAAAATGATAAAAAAAATGTATTTATAAATGCATTCTTCTGGCTTGGTTGATAAATCATAACTCCAGGCCTTGTGTATGTGTGTGTGTGCTGCTTCTTGTGTGGTCTTCAAATTGTGAGTTATCAACCACTGATCCGGCACAATACTTCCGAGGGCATCCGAATTTAAAACTATTTCACAGACTGCATGCACGTACACCATGCACATCACCACGCGGTGCAGTTCGGCTCTCCCCCGGAATCCCAGAGATGGCCTCCACAGCGAGGAACCATCGACGTTCTGCCGCATCGCACAGGCATCGCCAGCACGGACTGGGGTGGTGGCGGCATCCCTGGGGTCGTGAGGGGTGGAGCCCGGAGGGCCTCTGCCACCATGGCTGCCACGCCGGGGGACACCGTGGCCAGCTCGGGCATCTGAGCGATCAGCCCTGGGGGGGCGGGGGGGAGGCCAAATGCGCAGGCGGGCAAGGGACGTGGCGCGAGGGTTCCGGGCAGCTTCGAAGTGAACCAGTCGGGGCCGAAGCTCGGCAGTGGGCTCATTGACCCAACTTTGACGTCTTGCACACCTGGCCAGCGATGATGTAATATGACACGGCAATGTGGCGTCAATGTTGTTATGTTATTATGATTCTAATGATTGTCCAGTCAAGTGCCTGTTGTCTGTTTCGGTCCGCTGACAGTAGGATATATGTATTCTTAAGATTTCGTAGGTAGCACTCAGTTCATGTTAGCTTCTGATGTCCAGCACCTGTTATCACCTAGAAGCATGGTACTGCGGCTCTCACAACTTACCTGATTCGAGGGAGTCGCATATATAGAGTCACCACCCACTGGACCTTTCGGTTGGAAGGTTACCATCTTCTCAATCTCGTTCGTCAGTCCAAAGCCTTGGCTTGGAGTTTGAATGTCAGGGATGGGCATGCCGGGCAGCTTGGGCAAGTTGAGCACTGCCTTACATGAACAACTCGCAATTTACATAGAAAAAAAGAGAGGAAAAAAAAAGGTCACTCAAAAGGTAAGACCACTGCCCAACCAAAGGAAACAAGAGCTGTTTGGGACTCGGGGCCAAGGGACCAGAGCCCCCGGGACCATTGATGACAGGCATCCAGATGGGCTTCGGAGGCGTTTTTCCATTTTTTCCTAAGGGCCGCAGGAGACGCATGGCGGAAGCGGGAGTTCAATCAAGCTGTCAACACAAAAGCTCTTGTTTGGAAAGGATCAGCATCAGTTTGTTTATTCAATTTTGAAGTGTTTCATGATCTTCATGTCACCATGTGCAGTGATGTACGTCTTGTTGTATGATGGTCGTCGAAGGGTTGTCCTATATCATAGTATATTACTGCATTCTTTCATAGCCATCAGAAGCAGGAGCTTTGCCTCCAAACTCGACTGAAGCACTAGACTGCTTCATCTGCTGAACCACATGGCATCCTGGTCTGAGCTGACTCAGTCTCACACCTTCGGGCGACCTTGACCCTGAACTGCGAGGTTCCTCAAATGGGGTCATGTCGACTCCGCCTTCGAGGTCCAAGACACATGAGGCAAGAATTGACATTTCCGAAACAGAAGGTTCTCACACACCAAGGGTCAAGATCGAGATTCTGATGCTTTGAATGAAGAAAGATACAGGATCCGTGATAGGCCCCAGGCCAATGAGACATTAGTGAAACTGTCTAGGACCAGGACATCATCACTCATCACATTCCGTCGGACTCTGTCACCCGCCTTCGCCGCTTTCTTTTGAGTTTGGACCTTGTTTGTCCAACAGGCAGAACGTTTTCAATTTTTCAGATGATTCGTGCCAAGGCAATCTACGTTGTGAATAATCTTGAACATGTCAATCAAATACCATCAGATGCCATCAGATATCATCAAATACCATCACGTTTCTGAAGTTTCCTCAAACCAAACTCTGGGGAGTACACTGTGTCGAAGGTGCCAAACAAAGCGAAACAAGACGAAACAAACATTCCTTGGCCTCTCCCTCCAGAACTTCGAATTCAACAGCAAACTCATCAACGAGCCGAGTGACGTGGGCAAACGGGCCTTTGAAAGTCCTGCAAATCTGGCAGTGGTCGAACCTCGTGGGCAGGGTTCAGGTGTGATTCAGTTTTCATGACCCATGGCCTCCAGCCTTGCAAGTTAACCAAAAGAATCACTTGACTTCGGATAGCCACCAGCCATCAAAACAGTTTCTGTGATTCATAGAAACTGGGCAGAGTCCCCATGCGCAATGCCAAGTGCAGGATTGCAAGTGAGAGTTACTACCTGCATTTTGCAGTGTGTCAGAAGCGCAAAGGAGCTGTGGCCGCGTGCCTCTGGCTCGGGGAATTTGACGCTCACAGTCACCCTTAGCAACCCACACATCGTCATGCTGAATCCATCAATGGCATCATCTGAACACAAAGGGACAGTCCGTCAACAGAGTAAATCACGAGTTTGTCAAGACTTTTGCTCCAGAACTTCACGCCAGCATTGGGCCAGCTCAAGCTCAAGGTTGGCACCATTGAGATCAATGTGGACAAGCCACCAAGCCACTGTGCACAGCTGACTGTAATGATAGGCCCTCATAGGCCCTCTACTTCCCGAGCTGCCAAGACTGATCGCCGCAATTCGTCCATGGAATCATCCCAGACTGCTAAGGTGCCGACATGCCCCCATATTCGTAAGGTCCACGTGCAAGGTCCCATTCCGCCGGCTCTTCGACGACTTTGCGATCGGCCAGCGGCAACAACACCCTGGCATCGGTACCACCGCTCTCATGGCTCGGCGCCATTATGATGAACATTGTCATCGTTTTCATCATTATCATTTGAGCACCAGCACCATCACTGTGTTTAAATTTGAACGTCGACCTTACCCACTGAGCAGGACTTGGAAAATGTTTTTGGTTTCAAGACTCAAGACAGTGAATCCATCTGAATCGGAAGAACGTTCTCATCAAGCCCTGCTTCTGGCTGCTACCCATGGCACACAGCAGCAACGCCCAGCCTGCCAACCCAATCATCCTCGAACCCCAAGTGTAGCGGCAGGTTGACTTGCCGGATTTCCACCATTACGAAGTCCTGCCTTGGGCACAACAGCTAGTCTCTCTGGGCGAAAGCCACATGTTTGTGAAATATGCGAATCTGTTCAGCCAGAGAGAGTGAAAGTCCCGTGAACATAATATGGACCATATCATTTTGGACCACTGCGGTCTCACTGAACACAAGTTATGTATTTTGGTTTTTTGCCGCAAAAGCGCCTCGGATCGTAAGGCAATCTGATTGTCTCGAAGAAGAAGACGTCCTGCGCGCACCAGGCACCACTCCAACAGATATCTGACGAACCCTGCCCCAGAACCTCTTCCAAGTCCAAGAATGTAGACTGCAGTTGATTGCCCAAACAGGTTTGACATGTTTGAAGCACCAGCACGTGTTCCAAAAAATCCCTTCCATGATCTACATGTGCGTAGATGGGATATGATAAAACATATAGTATAATTATATACAATTATGACAAGTGAAAATCCTTGAAAATCTCAAGTCTTGCAGTTTATTTTCCACAGGAACTCTTTGACCGGACCAGCACACTCCTCTCTGCGAGACCCCAACGCACTCTTCATGGCAGGCTTAAAGCAGGACTTCCTCGACTCAGCCACCTGCTCAGATTCTCCTGGCACGACGGGATCAGCCACGGCATCGTAACTGAGGTCTACCGGTCTCACCCTGGCCTGGATAGTACGCGGTCACCTCACCGACAGCATGAAGGCTACTGGAAAGAGCAGCTGATTTATAATCAAGCTGGAAGTTCACGCCAGCTGATGAAATGAGCTGCCGTTGAAGTTGCTAAGGTTCTGACGCAGAAAGGGTGCATTCTGCCGTTATCCTTAGAGACAGGTCTGGATCAGTCCAAGAGTTTTTGGTGCCAGATGGGGGGACCCTGAACGATGTTGAGGCAAGATTCAAAATTGAGAATAACTATCCACAAGCCCGACCAAAGAATCAAAAGACTGAAGACTCTGAGCTATACTGCTATGCCATAGACTCATGTGCTGCAGCACTTCAAAGCTTCGATGAAAAAGATGACTTTTGCACTGAGCAGAGTTCCCTTGTCGTGGCACTTGAAACCCTCTGACGCAGTGACATAGTATGACATAGTTAGCTAAGTATACACATTAACAAACATGTTCGGCTTCATATGGAAGTGCCTATGTTTTCAGGTCTGTCTTGGCAAATGAGACCATATCAGATCAATCTTTGCGTCCCGCAAACTTTCCAACTGGCGCTAGCCCCATGTAACCCAAGGGCAGAGCCATTCCCAGAATCTCAGTTGCCTAGGTAATGTTCAATTGGAATGTTTTGCAGGTAGGTGAAGTCTTCGTTCATGTGTCCATTCAAGTCCATTCCCACAAATTCATGCAATTTCCAATGTCCAGCACGACTCGCAAGAAATTTCAATGACAATCTGACAGTCACAAAATCATCAAATGATAAAACACACAATGGGAAGGGGCCCCGACCTTGGCAACGTGGACTTCCAGCATTGTGCCTTGTGCAAAAGGAAACCCCTTGAAGCTGGCCATCTGATCTAGGTGGCATCCATCCTGTGTCCTGTAGTGAAAGGCAGACTCCATATCAGTCCATGGCAGAGCTTCGCCAAGTCTCAGGTTTCTGCACCCAAAACAGAAACTGCCATTCCAAATCAGCTTAAACATGCTGTAATCACATCCCCCCATCTGGTGACCTTTACACACGAATGTTCACCTGGCATCTGAAACATCGCCCCTGATGCCTGGGCACTTGCTCAACGGATTCCTGAGTCACAGTAAGCTGGATCCAACATGTGGAAGCAAAATCATCACTGATACATACTGATACCATGCGAAAGAAAAAGTAAAAGCGCGCCACATCACATATCCGATAGATCCCAACAACTAGAAATCGAAAAGACATAAACTCAATGATATAATGACATGCATCTATACCATCTAATTTTTTGTTCAATTCATCTCAAAGCTTTCAAGAGCCACTCTGTTTCGGAATCGAAGGGCTTAGATACCGTCTTGAGCTGTGTCCCAAGAAGAACTCTCCAAATATGTCCAAAGATTCCAAAGCACTTGCCCATGTAATTACATTCAACCACAACGAAAGTCTTGAGTCTTGATGATGGATTCTGACGGGCTACATACGGATACAGTCACAAATCGCAGGATTGACGCCAAGTTTCTCCAGGCCCATGTTCGGCCCGAAGTGGTGCTGATCGACATGCGTAGCTCTGCGCAACCTGCAAAGTCAGCTCCACTGATAGGCCGTGACAGGATCCAAGGCCAACTTGGCTGTCATAAGGGGGCTATGAAACGGTGGACATGACATCACCTTAGCCACTCAGAAAATAGGTTTTATCATAAAGTGACCTTCAGCAAATCCAGGACACTGTCTGAATCTGACCTGGAAGCATTTCAATTTTTGATGTCTAAGGGACTGGCGCAGTGTGCAACAGGGACATGAGGCACAAATCACCCGCGACGCAGGGTGTGCTAGGCTCGCAATAAGGGCTGCGGGATCTGCAAAGCATCAGATCGCTTCGTGCAAGATCTATAATCCATGACTTTACTCTACTCAAACTCTGACAAAATCCTTTGTTTCGGGATGTCGAATCAATGGAACATTTAACATTGGAGTAAAACAAACGCACACTGGAATTGGAAATATGAGTGGCTGAAAGAAATCCAGCGTCAAAATTGCCAGAATAACCTGACAGATACCCAAGTTGAAGGAAGGAATCGAAAGTATTCAAAAATACATCACCCAACAAAACACGCGAGAAATCGCGAGAATAATTCAAAATGTCGATCTCTGTGATAACCTGTGACATCCTGTGACTAAATTCTTTGGAGCTGCAAAGCACTGTAAAGGTCAAATGCTGAGCCCAGGGCCATTGGGCCAAAAATCACAAGTTTAATCCGACTGTTGCAGTCTGGACAGCTAAACAAGGCCACACGGCAACTGGATTCTTCTTTTCAGAATGGCACAAATCTACTCAAAGATGACAAATCGGTCAATGCGTGTCCACGTCTCTTGCAAAATCCGCAAAGCGGCTTTGGACTTTCGATTCGCAAATCGCCGTGAGTTTAGGGCGCATCAAGAATTTCCATTGCTCACCCACAAGAGCACAAACTGCTCAATGGCACAAGCTTGCGGAGGGCCTGATGATGGGAGGTTTGTTTCTTTATCGAAGCAAAAAAGAAGCAGTCCTGTCACCATGAGGAATCTTCCGTCCCTGCTGGTGGCCTCCTTTGCCCGAGGTAAGCAAGGCAAGCGAGAAGAACGCAGAGTGTGCACTGCGCTGTTTTTGCATGACACCTTTGCGACAGCGTAAGATGGTATCCTACAGGTGCTGCAGGGGGCAGCACAATGGTGCTTCTATGGTGATCTTGATACATCACAGAAAATATTCAATAAGCATCAACAAGCCAGGTACGAACACTACAAGCGCACTAGCAAGGCACAAGAAATGCATCAAAACGCACTTGGTCCTCAGCAGCCTGCTTCAGCGTCCCATGTAAAAGTTTCGAACAGTTTCAAATTCGACAGCCACCCGCACTCATCCGAGCGCAGAGTGCTGAAGAGATTCCACAGACAGTAGCTTTCCACAGGGATGTGGGACCCGGAAAATCTGACTGTTCTGCTTGAGGCAACCAGCTTCTGCACATGTGAAGTTGGACATCAAGTACGAATGGATTGGTCGCTGCTGGGTGCTGGCCGTTGCGCTTCGTCGGCCTTGAAAACTAGAAGTTCATGATCGGTTTCCAAAGAAAAAAAATACATCATGTCATTTCCGACGCACGTTCAGGACGATGAGACATTCGAAGTCCGCCGCCAGTTTTGTCCACTGCCATCAACTCTGGCGAGAAGGTGGCAGTCGAAAGTTCTCACACTGTAACCTCCTCGCTATGAAAACTTCCCCAATGGCCAGGTCCAAGCTGACAATAAATTACGACATATGCACGAAGAGATGTGGGAATGAAAGGCTGGGAATCTCGCAAACCGGGCAGAGATCACAATCCTTTTGTATCCATATACATTCTCATCCACAAATCTACCGTGCTGCATCGACAATTCGGCCTTTCGAAACCCTCAGGAGCTATACTTCACTCTGATACCTCACAAAACCTATTGGCTCATCGGATATCATCGGATTTTTAGACGTATTTCATGGAATGTCTTGGAATGCTTCCGCATCCCCGAAACTTCGAATTAAGGTGAGCCACCTTTGCGGTTTGCATTGAGCTTGCCCCTTTGCGTTCTGCGACAAGAATCTGCACAGCATTCCAGTGAGCCAGGCCATTCCGCGCCGATCTGACGAAGATTATGCACTCAGGTTGATACGTCGCAAAACCTGGTGGCTCATTCGAATTCTTAATTTGCCTCAGAGTGTTTATTTGAGTGCAAAAATATGGAAAAATGCTACTATTGCACTTAGTGTCTGCTTTGGCATGGGGTCAAACGAGCATCATGAAAACTTGATTCCTTTTGCGTCGTCTGTTTCCTTGAAGCTGAAAGGAACACCACCCAGTGACACGTCGAAGGCAACGGGAAAAATATGACCGTCGCCAATCATCAGGTCACGATACTTAGCGAACAGAAATCTTGATCCACACCTACGGCTAAATCATCGTTCGAATTATTCGTAGATCGAGCCCCCCCTCCGATCTTCAGAAAACGCTGTTGGAAATGTCGGAAGCCACCATATCCCACAAAATGTACTTGGAACACAAGGATCAAGCGGATCAGCTATAGTCAGCACTGCGCTCGAGCAAGTTTTTCTGCGGGTTCTCAGCACGGGGGTCCACATGGCATATGTTTCTACCACGGGCCATTGAAGCATTGGAGCATTGGTTCAAAGTCACCTCAGTTTGAGGGAACATCGATCCAAGATGCTCCAAGAATCAGGTTCTGGACATTTCTGGACCATGAATTGCCATGTTGAATCATCCCTGAGACAAAAAGATAGGAACAAATGGAAAAGATAGAGAAAGATAGACGAAGTCTCTCTGTCTTGTTCAGTTTTCTTACTCAACTTGGGCACACATGTGTGTTGGCACCCCTCATCCCACTGTTTCAGCGGACTTCCTGATGTATGGCAAGGTCAGATTTCTCATGAGCACCAGGTTCCCGACAATCCATCGGAGCCAGGATTCAGAGTGCCTTTCGCTTGCGCAATTTCAGGAATCTCAGACCGCGGCTGATCACACACAACCAACGTCAATTTGTAGCATTCCTCTATGTGAAGAAACCGCCGCGCCGCACCTAAGAAAAAGAACTGGGAAAGCTACAGCAACTCGACTGAATACGAACAAAGACAACCAACCATGAGACAAAACCAACGAAATTTACGAAAAGGGAAAAAAAATATACAAAATGGAAAGAAAGGGGTCATGGTCATGATAGAGGTGATGTTCGTCTCACAGCCGGACCATACCCAAAAGATTTGACATATCTTTTTTCTGCCTTAGCAGGCCACGCGGCAAAGGTTTCCGCCGTAGACTGCAGGGGCAGCGTTCACCTCAGGTTGCAGGAATACAATTCTGGGAATGGATTAAACATGATTAAACCACCCCTAATGGTCAAATCTTGTGGAATCTGTCTAAATCTATGAGCAACAGGTGTCTGTCTAACTCCCGCAGCAACTTGGAGGCACCAGCAACTTCCTTGACAGGTAGGTTTGGTCTTCCAAATATTGAGACATTGACATTGCCACCAAAACCACATGCCACGTCAAGGGATGTCAAGGGTACAATCTACTCGGGCCAAGTTCTGGGCTGCTGGAGCCGCTCGCGAAATCCAAGGGCCTGTCATCGGTGTGTTTAACAAACCAAGATTTCCCTCCACACCACACACCACAATGCGCGACAGGAGTCCGTTCACCTTTCAGTTTCCAAGCCTCTTTGTGGATTGGTGTGGATTGACCATCTGAACATACTTGTTTTTGGTCTCTGCTCACATGCACGACATACACCATGCACATCACCACGCGGTGCAGTTCGGCTCTCCCCCGGAATCCCAGAGATGGCCTCCACAGCGAGGAACCATCGACGTTCTGCCGCATCGCACGGGCATCGCTAGCACGGACTGGGGTGGTGGCGGCATCCCTGGGGTCGTGAGGGGTGGAGCCCGGAGGGCCTCTGCCACCATGGCTGCCACGCCGGGGGACACCGTGGCCAGCTCGGGCATCTGGGCTATCAGCCCTGGGGGGGCGGGGGGGAGGCCAAATGCGCAGGCGGGCAAGGGACGCGGTGGGAGGGTTCCGGGCAGCTTCGAAGTGAACCAGTCGGGGCCGAAGCTCGGCAGTGGGCTCATTGACCCAACTTTGACGTCTTGCACCCCTGGCCAGGCAAGAAAGTCACAGGAATTCTCCATGTCACATTTGGAAACAACAATCGAGAGTGTGATTGATGCAGCATGATGTAATGTGACACGGCAATACCGTGTCAATGTTCTGATATGTTCTAATGATTGTCCTGTCAAATGTATGTTGTCTGTTTCGGTCCGCTGACAGTAGGATATATGTATTCTTAAGAGTTCGTAGGTAGCACTCAGTTCGTGTTGCTTCTGGAAGCATGGTACCTAGTGCTTTGGTCCCATGGAGTCACCCGACCTTTTGGTTGGAAGGTCACCATCTTCTCAATCTCGTTCGTCAAACCAAAGCCTTGGCTTGGAGTTTCAATGATTTCAGGGATGGGCACGCCGGGTACGCAGCTTGGGCAAGTTGAGCACTGCCTTACAGGTGAACAACTCACACGTCAGTTTATGTGTGAAAACATCGTAAAACCACGTAAAGCCACTGCCCAAAGGAAACAAAAGCTGTTTGGGACTCGGGGCCAAGGGACCAGAGCCCCCGGGACCATTGATGACAGGCATCCAGATGGGCTTCGGAGGCGTTTTTCCATTTTTTCCTAAGGGCCGCAGGAGACGCGTGGCGGAAGTGGGAGTTCAATCTTGAGATGTGCCCGTGGAAAACGATGGAAAGACAGAAACTATCAGAAACTATGATAGACAAAAACTGTCAGAAACTCTTTCTGTGGACTGCATGGAAGGATATGGAAGGTTCTAACATATTCTAACAACAGTATGTTCCAACCATCTTTTCCTGGCACCCTTCAGCTCTTCAACATCTTGAACCATAGTTTCCGCCTTCAAATCTTTCAAACAGGAACTGTAAAGGTTCTCAAGTTTTGAGAGATGGCCCTTGTGTTTTTTCCAAACATTCTGCGAATGAAAGTGTAAGCACAGCCAGATCTTGGCAGAAGGTTTGAGGTGTTTGTCAAATTCCACTTGTCGCACTTAGACCCACCAACACCATGAAAACTATCCTGAGTAGTATGTTTCTTGTCCTCTTCATTATTGACAGTACCAGTATGATTCAGCATGTTGGTTCATTCACTTTTAGAATTATGTACAGTTCTGCATAGTTCTGCCATATTCCTTTGGTTGCGTTGCACGTCACGATGTGCTTTCAGTTTCGTGTTTTCATTGGTTTGCTCTTGTTGTTAGACTGTCTTTGAGCGGTGTCTGATCGGAAGGGACAGCCCTGACATCCCAACTGGTCTGAAATTGTTATATTTATTGCTCATTATGTTAAGATCTGACACACAGGATCTATGTTGACCCCGTGTAACATGACATCATGAAACCATGGTGAAACATGGTGAAATGTTCGGTCTGACTCGGTTTCCCACCTTCAAATGACGACCCTGACCTTGTGCGAGGCTGGGTCGTATCGCTGCCACCTTCACAGCACAAGGAGTTACACTGTCCCTGGCACCGCCTCGACTCCAGAACTTCATCAATTTTTCATCCCATTTGAATCATTTGAATGTCCAATGTCTTGGGGTCTGAAAGGTATCCACCCTCGTTCTACAAGACCTTGCGTGTGCACGTGTGTACGCAGGAATGAAGGTCTGGATTCTGGATGATCTGGATGGATGGTTCAATGCCGAACTATACTCTTCATGGATGCCTGCATGGATAATGGTTTATCAGCTACGTATGCCCTGCAACCAAAATAATAAATGTTATGTGTAAATCCAACCACAGGAAAATTACATCTCATTGTCATGGCACCAGAAAGATAATTTTGAAAAAAAAAAGGAACTAGAACCCTCCAAACCCCGTGAAGATCCCACACCAATTCAACATCACACAACCTATTGTCAAGAGGAACCATTTGTTGAAACTCAAAACTTGTTTTTGCACTTTGCACGTGCTGATTTTCGGGATGTAGATTTACGGGGTGCATGCAGTGTATGAAACATGCTGCGCATAGGTTCGTACTGGATACATCTACAAGTTTTTGAAGGAAAGGCTGAAAGGCTCATGAAGCTAAGGATCCTTGGCTCCAAGCCAACCAAGCTATACAGGACACCAGAATAATTGCCACATTCATCACATTCTGACTCTGTCGCCCACCTTTGCTGGTTGAGCCTGCCCCTTCTCTCGGTATGTCGAAAGGGCTCATGTCGATCCCACCTTCCACAGACCCCACACCGTCTGACCCAGCAAGAACTAAGAACTTGCTTAAAACAAAGAACCAGAACCCATCCAGAACCCGTCCGGGTTTATGTTTTTTGGGTTATAGATGTGGGAGGTGAATGGAGGTGACAGGCTTCTCCAAGGTCTCCAAAGTCCCAAAATCAAACCTCTTCCTGCAAAACTCTTGGAACTTCTGTCAATTTGTGTCACTTTCGTGTGGGCAACGACTTGCTGCCCTGACGCCGAAACTCTGGGGAGGAGACCGTCCACTTTCGCTTTGGATTTGAGATGTTGGCCTCGAAAACAGCGCTGTGAATGCAACTGGAACTGTGTCAACTCAGGTTTCCCGGGATTCAGCTGATGAATTGATGATAGCCCCCTCAAAACTTCTACCGGCCATTCAACCAGAATTTGTCCTATCGAATATACAATATACCTAGAAGGGACGAGGGCAAAGCAAAGGAGAAATGCGCACAGATACCCTTCGCCAAACTGGGACAAGGAAAGCTCAACGAGATCAGTAAAGTGGTACCCCGGTTTTTGCACAGAGGTTGCTTTATCGGCACATTTCTGAAAATCCGAACCACATAGTGGAAGCTGCAACTGTACAGAGTCAACCCACAAACAGAATGCACACATCTCTGTGTGAAGCATGATGCTGGATCCAACTTCCCGCAACCAGTTGCACTCATCAAACCGAGTGACGTGGAGACACCGGCTTCGGAAACGTGCGCAAATCCGGCAGCGGATGAGCTTCGTGAGCTTCAACCTGGCAAGCTTCGACATTGTTTCGGCCATTGATTCCAAGAAAAGGTCACTTCACTCACCTTGCCATGGAAACTGAGCTGCAGCTGCAGATTATGTCCTAAGATCATTGACACCTTACGGCCGATTACTTCCTGCACTTTTCACAGAAGGGCTGCGGCAGAGCCTCTGGAGGGGGCAATTTCACACTGACCGTCACCCTCAGCAATCCAAGATCCCAAAACCAAAACTATTCTGCACTCCCAATGGCGTCTGGACAAAGGAACACAAACAAACATCTGGACACGGAATGTTTCAGAACATCACTCTGCCAGGCATGACCCCAATCTGACGGTAACTCACTGTCACAACAACCAGAAGCAATTGATCCGTAAGGTGCCCACGTGCCCCCGTACTCGAATGGGCCGCGCGCCAATTCGTATTCCATTGGCAGTTCCACATTGGGATCTGCCAGCTGGACAGTCGCCCTGGCGCAGGTGGCCGCAAATCCCCTGGGTAAGCGTCATCCTCATCATGAATGCCGTCATTGTCATCACAAGCATCAGCATCATCACCACCATCACCATCACCATCACCATCATCATCATCATCATCATCATCGTCATCCTTCTCCTCCTCCTCCTCATCAACATCATCATCAGCAGCATCATCATCATCATCATCGTCATCATCATCATCATCAGCAGCAGCAGCAGCACAAGCATCACCATCGGCATCATAAGCATCACCATCGGCGGCATCATCATCATCATCATCATCATCATCATCATCAGCAGCAGCAGCAGCAGCACAAGCATCACCATCGGCATCATAAGCATCACCATCGGCATCGGCATCATCATCATCATCATCATCATCAGCAGCAGCAGCAGCAGCGCAGCAGCACAAGCATCACCATCGGCATCATAAGCATCACCATCGGCATCATCATCATCATCATCATCAGCAGCAGCAGCAGCAGCAGCAGCAGCACAAGCATCACCATCGGCATCATAAGCATCACCATCGGCATCGGCATCATCATCATCATCATCATCATCAGCAGCAGCAGCAGCAGCAGCGCAGCAGCAGCAGCAGCACAAGCATCACCATCGGCATCATAAGCATCACCATCGGCATCATCATCATCATCATCATCATCATCATCATCAGCAGCAGCAGCAGCACCGTCCCCATCACCGTCACCATCACTAGCATCATCTTCTGCTTCTTCATCATCACCATCTTCATCATCACCATCTTCATCTTGAACTTCAATGTTTTCGAAAGGCCACCGTTTTGAATGAGCTGGCTGAGGTCAAGAAAAAAACAATTATCCAAGGATCATGATCAGAAGGGCCGCAAACAGAAAGTGGAACAAAAAAATTCGGATCGCGGATCCTCTATGATCCTCTGGGCCCCTGGGTTTGGCAAAAGATAAGACAAGGATTTATTTTAATATTGAGTCTGCTGGGAAATCAAAGCAATCAACACTTCTCATCAACATCAGCTTTCAAAGGCCTCCGACAAAGCACGAACACCCAGCCTTCCGACTCACTCATCTTCAAACTGCATTTGGAGTGGCACTTGTACTTCAAAAATCTCGACGTGAAGAAGCTGTTGCCTCAAGCAGAACACCCAGGCTTTCAGAGAGCCGCTGTCAGAAACTCTTCAGCAGTGTGACACAGGCTGGCAAGCGCATGGATCGCAATCATTTGAGAGCCATACACTCTCAAGCTTTCTGTGTTGTGATGTTTGTCCAGCTTTCAACCCCGGGAACGCCTTGGGTTATAAGGCACGCGGATCGTCTCGAAAAAAAACACATCCTGCAGGCAGGAGGTATGGCAGCACCAAATTCCGCATCAGGAACACTGTTGCTTCATTGCTACAAATACATTATAGCCCATAGTAGAGATTACCGCATGATATATCCCAGTCACAAGGCGCAAATCCATCCCCTAAACTTCCTGCTGTTAAGCTCAGTGCTGGCCTCTCGGCGGGAGCCCGGTGCACTCTTTTTGGCTGGCACCATCTTTGTCTTCCGCGCATCGATAACTTCTTCCGACTCTCCTGGCGGAATGTATCATGGGTTACCATCAGCAACCAAGAAAGGAGATTGTACGAAGGGTTACTCACTACTGCAAGTATCCTCAAATTAAATCTCTATATTCTTGAACAAAGAAACTATATACTCAATTCTATCCACACGACTGCATGTGTCTAAGGAAAGAAATATGACTTTATCCAGGCGGAAAGCTATCTGTTCGGTTCCCCCCCCGGCCTGGATAGTAGGCGCTCACCTTAGAGACACAAGCTTTCAACTTGAGGGAAGAGTGGCTGCGCAGCTGCTTTCCCATGGTTTTGGCAAATCTCAAACGGAAACTTTAGCATCGATCTTTGATACTTCGAGGAGTTCGGTCCATTTTCCCGACGTTCCAATTCTAGGATGATCTGCTTAATCTGCCGAATTCTTCAGGTCGCGACGCAGAAAGGGTGCAGCCTGAAGTTGTCCTCGGGGCAACTCTGGATGACGGGTGAAATGAAGAAATGAAAAAACATGTGAAATCGATTGTTGTTATGACAATGATCATACAATGATCATACGACTTCGAATCCACAATTTCCACACCAAAAGCTCAGTTATTGTGGCTTTGCTAGTCATTCATAGCGATTAGATAGTGACTATCAGATTGTGGCACTCTGGATGTCCTGATATGTCCTGATATATGTATGGCATTGTATGGCCCTGATGCTTTGTAAACACGATGCTGAAACCATTCTCTAAACATCTCGCCCATGTACCAAGGGCGGAACCATGCCAAGAATCTCATTCGCCTGGGTGTCATTCAAAGTCAGCCACAGGTCAAAATCCCCAACGTTCTCCCCCGGATCTGGTGACATAGTTTTCAAGGAATTTCGAGAGCCGGCAAAAACAGCTGATGTTCTGGGTTGAGGCCCTTACCTTGTCAATGCGGACCTCCAAGTATTTCTGTTCCTCTTTCTTGCGCTGCATGCCTGGCACAATCAACAGGTTGCCGAAACCATTTCAGGAGACAGAATGATGGCATATTTCGAACTGGTAGGGCCAGCCGCGGCCAGCCGCCCTTTGCCCGCACATGTTTTTTCACTTCTGACTGTGGTCCCCCTTTCTCCCTTCGTTTCATTTCGTTTCATCCTTTTCAACCCCTTCTGAATCCTCTTCATGGGTTTCAGTTCAAACATGTTGAAATTCCACATGTTTCACCTCCTTCGTCATAAGATTCATAAGTCATATGAGTCATACGTCTTCAGTCTATTTGTTGTCACAACATCAGTTCTCACAGCCAACGCACCTCCGCCCTTGCCAAATTTGTCAGGAGATGAATTGGAAGGGTCTGCCAGGCCAATAGTCTCCGGCAGCATTTTCCGAAAGTTTCTGAAAAAGTTTCGGTCAAAGGTTGTAAAATTGTAGCAGTTGCACCTGGGAACTCGATTCCCAGAGGATTCCTGAGGGACCAATGGACCAAGCTCTCTGCGGAAGTGGACATGTGCGGCGACTCCAATATACCGATACCATCCGATACCACTAGTCGCCGGCCGCACTGGGGCGGAAGCTTTAGAAATAGCAGCACCAGGGGATTGAGAGGTTGTAGTTTAGTAATGTTTTGTATAGTTTATAGGCAAGTCTCTTCGATGCCACCGGCGCTTCACTGAAGAATTCATCATGGTTGAATGAATGCGTAATTATACATGAATACAAACATGAAATTCTGAGAAACTGGTTGGTTGATTGGGCTACTGGTTGACTGATTGAAATGACGGAATGACTAAATTCTGAATGAAATCAATTCACCACCCAAAGGGGCTGCCTGATGCTCCTGGAGACGCTGCCGAGTTTCTCCAATCCCGTTTTCGGAATGAAGTCATGCCACTTCACGTTGGTGGCTCTGTACAGCCTGCAAAGTCGTACATCGCCGTACTCGACTTGGCTCTGAGTTGTAAAGGTCCGAACCACCCAACTACACACGTTTCAAGTTGAATCCTGCAAAATCAATGACTTCATACGACTTCAAATCTAAGTGCTCGGCTGGGAAGTTACCGGAGCCATAAAGATGACTTTTGCGTGTACAAAGAGCGCGGGCCCGTTGAACTCTGTTTCAGCCACTCTTAACACAGCTGCGGAACGCGCAAGACATATTAAGACATCTCCACACGTAGACTCCACTGCAAGAATGGTGCTAATTTCATCCAAGGTTTTCAAATTTCAGCAGCAAACCCTCAAGACATCTCAAGACATCATCTCTCACTTCAATCAAACTCAGTAAAAAAAACATCAACTCCGACACTTTTGCTAACCAATCGAGCCAGTCAAGCGGTTCTACACAGTGAGAAATTTCCCAAGGAAACTTCCAACTCACCATGAGCCCAGGGCCCGGTGCTGCGGCGATTTTTCGGAAAGGAAGGATCCGTTTCTTCCTTGTCTTGGGAGTGTTTGTGATGTTTGTGGTTTCATTATGTTTGATATGTTTGATGAATTATTTATAGTGATTTTATGCTATTTTTATGGCCATGATTAAAACTTGGTACAAAGAAAGATACAGGATCCATGTTGGCCCCAGGCCAGTGAAACTGTCTAGGACATCATCACATTCTGTCTGACCCTGTCCCACCTTTGCCGCTTTCTTTTGAGCTTGGACATGCTTGGGCCTTGTTTGTCTGACACCGTCGAAGAGGCTCATATCCGGCTGGGCTGGGCCAATTCGTACTCAGGGCGACGCCAGGGCGACTGTGCAGCTGGCAGGATCTGCCAGCTGCACAGTTGCCCTGGGGGTGCTGCAACCCCCTTGGGGTAACCATCCTCATCATGAATGCCGTCATGATCACCCCTACGCCCTACGCCCTTCAAACCCGCATCGAGGCAGACCAAACTTTGGCCAAACAGAACGAAAACCGAACGAAGAATACACATTCGCTGGGACTCGATATGCTTCTGCCTCCCCAAATCTGTGAATTCAACAGCGGATCATCAGCCAAGTGACGTGGCAAAATGATGCAAAATGGGTCTTGGACCCTTCAATCTGGCAGTGGTTGAACTTCGGTTGAACCATGTTGAACCAAAACGTGGGCGAGGTTCTATTGTGATGCTTGCGGCCCATGTCCAGCCTTGATTGCAAGATTTGTTCGCCAAAAAAGTCGCTTGACTTTGGAATTGAAACTGGGCAGAATCCCCGTTCCATGCCAAGTGTAGCGTTGCAAGTGAGAGTTACTACCTGTTTTTCAATGGAACTATGCTGCCTCTCAGAGGCACACTAAGAGGCAGGCAAAGCCCCGGCAAAGCCCCGGCAAAGCCCCGGCAAAGCCCCGGCAAAGCCCCGGCAAAGCCCCTCTGGCTCGTGGAATTCGATGCTCACCGTCACCCTATCACCCTTCGCATCCCTTCGCAAGCCACGAGTCATGATGAATCCATCAATGGCATCATCTGAGCATACAGGGACAGTCCCCCAACAAATACATATATATATATAATGAGTTTGTCAAGACTTTTGTTTCAGAATTTCTCGCCAGCATTGGGCCATTGGGCCAGAAGGTTGGCACCATTGGACACCAAACCACTGTGCTCTGACTGTATTGAGCTGATAGGCCCTCTACTTTCCGAGCTGCCAAGACTGAAGAATTGACATGAACTGATTTTTTTGGCGCTACCATTTTCAATGCTCACCCACAGCACAAACTCCTCAATGGCACAAGCTTGCGGAGAGCCTCATGATGAGAGGACGGCTTCTTCTTCGAAGCAAAAAAGAAGCAGTCCTGCCACCATGAGGAATCTTCCGTCCTTGCACTTTGTCCAGTCACCGGTCGGGTCACTTTAGCCAAAAGCTGGTGGCCCTGGTTCCTCAATGATTTAGCTTCCTAAAAGCTTGGTGTTGGACACAAGTTATTGCCACAAACATGTCTTTTGGTGAAGGGCAAGTTCAATGGGAGCAGTAACTTAGAATGCGCACCAATGTTTTTGCATGACACCATGGCACAAATAGCATTGTGATTTTGATAATCACAACCACATTGCGTGAGCCGTTACAAACGCTACTACACACTAAGACACAAGGAATGTGAATGCATCAAAACGCATCAAAATGCACTTGGTCTTCGGCAGCATGCTTCAGCTTCCGCCAAAAGTTTCGACTTCAACAGCCACTCATCAGGGAACCCAGTGCTGAAGGGATTTCTGGAGTTTCCACAGGAGTCAAAAATCTTTCCACAGGGAGGACATACCCAGAGCCCCACACCTCGCTCCTGAGGCAACAGCAGCTGGTGGACATACCAAGATGTCACCAGCAGCTGTTGCCCCAGGCACAACAGCCAAAGAGTGAAGTCGGACACCAATGGCGAAGAGGAAGGCTGGGTAGCTTGGTGGAGAAGTTCATCGGTTTCCAAGCCTATGAAAACAGGAAGCCTAGGCATCATGTTATTTTTCCAACAGGACGAGACATTCGAGGTCCGCCGCCAGCTTGCGAGATTTTTGGAAACTCTCCTCGTCAGGTGGAACGCAAGCCGCGCAACAAGCCGCCATGTCACCCCTGAGCTGCTCTCCTCTCCGTGCGAGTGTGGTACATTCTTCATCGTAACTGATGCATTCCGCCAGAGTCGGAAGTCATCGATTGAAGACAAAGATGGTTCTTGGTCTTCGAATCGATGACTTCTGATTCTCCTGGCACGGATTTTGTTGAATCTGGGCATCAGCAAAACAAAGATTATGTATGTATGAATGCATATGATTGTATACTGGTTGTGTGTTTATTTATGTATGTGTTGAGTATTTATTAATAATTAGTATATCATGTTCTATCAACCCCATTGCATGTTGCGAAAAAAAATGTGACTGTACCCAAGCAAAGTGTTGGGTCTTTTCCTCAGCCCCCTGGCCTTGCAGGCGCTCACCTTACCAAGGGAAGAGTAGCTGCTCTCTCATGGTTTTATTGGGCAAAACCTAAGCCAAAACCAATGGGTTTCAGATGGTTTTCCCATCCAGTTTAGGGTTTTGTTCAAGGGATTCCTGAATATTCCTGAGCATGGAACAAGACACCTTCCCCAACACCAAGCTACTCAGCCGCTGGGTAGCTTGGTGTGAAGTTCATCGGTTTCCAAGCCTATGAAAAGGCATCATGTTATTTTTCCAACGGTCAGGACGATAAGACATTCGAGGTCCGCCGCAGTCCTGCACGAAGGGTTGTGCAGACAGGAATCCACAGCATCCTGAGCCATGCCATTCCGCGCCGATCTGACGAAGATTATGCACTCAGATTGATACCTCATAAAACCTGGTGGCTCATTCGAATTCTAAATTTGTGTTATATACTTGCACTTAGTGACTGTTTTGGTATGTTTCGGTATGGATCAAACCATCATCATGAAAACCTGATTCCTTTTGCGTCGTCCGTTTCCTTGAAGCTGAAAGGAACACCACCCAGTGACACGACGAAGGCAACGAAAATATGACCATCGCCAACCATCAGGTCACTATACTTAGCGAACAGAAATCTTGATCCACACCCGTAGCTAAATCCTCGTTCGAATTATTCGTAGATCGAGGTTTTCGGGTATGATTTAACAGTATTTAACGCCATTCTTGATGGTCCTCAGTGCAACACGTCTCCTTTCCTACCCTGGTGTGTAGCTTGGGGGGCAACCCTTGTTCAGCCCCCCTCCGATCTTCAGGAAACGCTGTTGGAAATGTCGGAAGCCACCATATCCCACAAAATGTACTTGGTTCACAAGGATCAAGCGGATCAGCTATATTCATTTACAGTTCAGCACTGCTCTCGAGCAAGTTTTTCCGCGGGTTCTCAGCACGGGCCACATGGCATATGTTTCTAACACGGGCCATTGAAGCATTGGAGCATTGGTTTAAAGTCACCTCAGTTTGAGGGAACATCGATCCGGAATCCAAGATGCTCCAAGAATCAGGTTCTGAACATTTCTGGACCATGAATTGCCACCTGAGACGAAAAGATAGGAATGGATAGAGAAAGATAGAGAAAGATAGACAAAGTCTCTCTGTCTTTTTCAGTTTTCTTACTCAACTTGGGGAAGCAGAAACTGCATCCCGCATGTGTGTTGGCACCCCTCACACTGTTTCAGCGGACTTCCTGATGGCAAGGTCAGATTTCTCATGAGCACCGTGGCACCAGGTTCCCGACAATCCATCGGAGCCAGGATTCAGAGTGCCTTTCGCTTGCGCACTTTCAGGAATGCCCGACGGTCCGTCACACACCAGCAACGTCAATTTCTAGCATTCCGAATTCCTATATCTCCCATGACACCGACGTAAGAAAACCAATAAGGCGCAAGGATACAACAACTCCAATGAATACGAGCACAGCGAACTAAGACAACAAAAACAAAAACAAAAACAATGGAACAAGAATGGTGTCCATTCAAACTTGCAAAGAGGAAACAAAAAAGAGCAACCGATAACAGAATGCAAAGAAAGGAGTAATGATAGTGGTGATGTTCGATATCAACTATCGTGTTTAGCAGGGAACTGCACTGTTCCGTGCGGAAATGCTGCAAGTTTGGAAGTCACCAGCCCCGGACCACACCCAGATTTCAAGAAAATGGAACCGTGGGATGAAGCAACCTGACCCATCTTTTCCTGCCTTAGCAGGCCACACGGCAAAGGTTTCTGCCGTAGACTGCAGGAGCAACGTTCACCTCAGGATGGTTGCCGGAATACAATTCTGGGAATGGATTAAACATGATTAAGCCACCCCTAATGGTCAAATCCTGTGGAATCTGTCTAAATCTATCAGCAACAGGTGTCTGTCTAACTCCCGCAGCAACTTGGAGGCAGGACCAGCAACTTCCTTGACAGGTAGGTTTGGTCTTCCAAATATTGAGACATTGACATTGCCACCAAAACCACATGCCACGTCAAGGGATGTCAAGGGTACAATCTACTCGGGCCAGGTTCTGGGCTGCTGGAGCCGCTCGCGAAATCCAAGGGCCTGTCATCGGTGTGTTTAACAAACCAAGATTTCCCTCCACACCACACACCACAATGCGCGACAGGAGTCCGTTCACCTTTCAGTTTCCAAGCCTCTTTGTGGATTGGTGTGGATTGACCATCTGAACATACTTGTTTTTGGTCTCTGCTCACATGCACGACATACACCATGCACATCACCACGCGGTGCAGTTCGGCTCCACCCCGGAATCCCACCTTACCAAGGGAAGAGTAGCTGCTCTCTCATGGTTTTATTGGGAAAAACCTATGCCGAAACCAATGGGTTTCAGATGGTTTTCCCATCCGGTTTAGGGTTTTGTTCAAGGGATTCCTGAATATTCCTGAGCATGGAACAAGACACCTTCCCCAACACCAAGCTACTCAGCCGCTGGGTAGCTTGGTGTGAAGTTCATCGGTTTCCAAGCCTATGAAAAGGCATCATGTTATTTTTCCAACGGTCAGGACGATAAGACATTCGAGGTCCGCCACAGTCCTGCACGGAGGGTTGTGCAGACAGGAATGCACAGCATCCTGAGCCATGCCATTCCGCGCCGATCTGACGAAGATTATGCACTCAGATTGATACCTCATAAAACCTGGTGGCTCATTCGAATTCTAAATTTGTGTTATATACTTGCACTTAGTGACTGTTTTGGTATGTTTCGGTATGGATCAAACCATCATCATGAAAACCTGATTCCTTTTGCGTCGTCCGTTTCCTTGAAGCTGAAAGGAACACCACCCAGTGACACGACGAAGGCAACGAAAATATGACCATTGCCAACCATCAGGTCACTATACTTAGCGAACAGAAATCTTGATCCACACCCGTAGCTAAATCCTCGTTCGAATTATTCGTAGATCGAGGTTTTCGGGTATGATTTAACAGTATTTAACGCCATTCTTGATGGTCCTCAGTGCAACACGTCTCCTTTCCTACCCTGGTGTGTAGCTTGGGGGGCAACCCTTGTTCAGCCCCCCTCCGATCTTCAGGAAACGCTGTTGGAAATGTCGGAAGCCACCATATCCCACAAAATGTACTTGGTTCACAAGGATCAAGCGGATCAGCTATATTCATTTACAGTTCAGCACTGCGCTCGAGCAAGTTTTTCCGCGGGTTCTCAGCACGGGCCACATGGCATATGTTTCTACCACGGGCCATTGAAGCATTGGAGCATTGGTTTAAAGTCACCTCAGTTTGAGGGAACATCGATCCGGAATCCAAGATGCTCCAAGAATCAGGTTCTGAACATTTCTGGACCATGAATTGCTATGTTGAATCATCCCTGAGACGAAAAGATAGGAATGGATAGAGAAAGATAGAGAAAGATAGACAAAGTCTCTCTGTCTTTTTCAGTTTTCTTACTCAACTTGGGGAAGCAGAAACTGCATCCCGCATGTGTGTTGGCACCCCTCACACTGTTTCAGCGGACTTCCTGATGGCAAGGTCAGATTTCTCATGAGCACCGTGGCACCAGGTTCCCGACAATCCATCGGAGCCAGGATTCAGAGTGCCTTTCGCTTGCGCACTTTCAGGAATGCCCGGCTGCCCGACGACGGTCCGTCACACACCACCAACGTCACTTTCTAGCATTCCGAATTCCTATATCTCCCATGACACCGACGTAAGAAAACCAATCAGGCGCAAGGATACAACAACTCCAATGAATACGAGCACAGCGAACTAAGACAACAAAAACATAACAAAAACAATGGAACAAGAATGGTGTCCATTCAAATTTGCAGAGAGGAAACAAAAAAGAGCAACCGATAACAGAATGCAAAGAAAGGACTAAGAAAGGGGTAATGATAGTGGTGATGTTCGATATCAACTATCGTGTTTAGCAGGGAACGGCACTGTTCCGTGCGGAAATACTGCAAGTTTGGAAGTCACCAGCCCCGGACCACACCCAGATTTCAAGAAAATGGAAATGGGATGAAGCAACCTGACCCATCTTTTCCTGCCTTAGCAGGCCACACGGCAAAGGTTTCTGCCGTAGACTGGAGGAGCAACGTTCACCTCAGGATGGTTGCCGGAATACAATTCTGGGAATGGATTAAACATGATTAAACCACCCCTAATGGTCAAATCTTGTGGAATCTGTCTAAATCTATCAGCAACAGGTGTCTGTCTAACTCCCGCAGCAACTTGGAGGCAGGACCAGCAACTTCCTTGACAGGTAGGTTTGGTCTTCCAAATATTGAGACATTTCCAAGAACGCCACATGCCACGTCAAGGGATGTCAAGGGTACAATCTACTCGGGCCAAGTTCTGGGCTGCTGGAGCCGCTCGCGAAATCCAAGGGCCTGTCATCGGTGTGTTTAACAAACCAAGATTTCCCTCCACACCACACACCACCATTCGCGACAGGAGTCCATTCACCTTTCAGTTTCCAAGCCTCTTTATGGATTGGTGTGGATTGACAATCTGAACATACTTGTTTTTGGTCTCTGCTCACATGCACGACATACACCATGCACATCACCACGCGGTGCAGTTCGGCTCTCCCCCGGAATCCCAGAGATGGCCTCCACAGCGAGGAACCATCGACGTTCTGCCGCACCGCACGGGCATCGCCAGCACGGACTGTGGTGGTGGCGGCATCCCTGGGGTGGTGAGGGGTGGAGCCCGGAGGGCCTCTGCCACCATGGCTGCCACGCCGGGGGACACCGTGGCCAGCTCGGGCATCTGGGCTATCAGCCCTGGGGGAGCGGGGGGGAGGCCAAATGCGCAGGCGGGCAAGGGACGCGGTGGGAGGGTTCCGGGCAGCTTCGAAGTGAACCAGTCGGGGCCGAAGCTCGGCAGTGGGCTCATTGACCCAACTTTGACGTCTTGCACACCTGGCCAGGCAAGAAAGTCACAGGAATTCCCCACGTCACGTTTGGAAACAAGAATCGAGAGTGTGATTGATGCAGATGTAATGTGACACGGCAATACCGTGTCAATGTTCTGATATGTTCTAATGATTGTCCTGTCAAATGTATGTTGTCTGTTTGGGTCTGCTAACAGGAGGATATGGTATTCTTAGGATTTCTTAGGATTTCTTAGGTCACTCAGTTCGTGTTGCTTCTGGAAGCATGGTACCTAGTGCTTTGGTCCCATGGAGTCACCCGACCTTTTGGTTGGAAGGTCACCATCTTCTCAATCTCGTTCGTCAGTCCAAAGCCTTGGCTTAGAGTTTGAATGTCAGGGATGGGCACACCGGGTACGCAGCTCAAGTTGAGCACTGCCAGGTGAACAACTCACACGTCAGTTTATGTGTGAAAACATCGTAAAACCACGTAAAGCCACTGCCCAAAGGAAACAAAAGCTGTTTGGGACTCGGGGCCAAGGGACCAGAGCCCCCGGGACCATTGATGACAGGCATCCAGATGGGCTTCGGAGGCGTTTTTCCATTTTTTCCTAAGGGCCGCAGGAGACGCGTGGCGGAAGTGGGAGTTCAATCTTGAGATGTGCCCGTGGAAAACGATGGAAAGACAGAAACTATCAGAAACTATGATAGACAAAAACTGTCAGAAACTCTTTCTGTGGACTGCATGGAAGGATATGGAAGGTTCTAACATATTCTAACAGTATGTTCCAACCATGTTTCCTGGCACCCTTCAGCTCTTCAACATCTTGAACCATAGTTTCCGCCTTCAAATCTTTCAAATCAGGAACTGTAAAGGTTCTCAAGTTTTGAGAGACGGCCCCTGTGTTTTTTCCAAACATTCTGCGAATGAAAGTGTAAGCACGGTCAGATCTTGGCAGAAGGTTTGAGGTGTTTGTCAAATTCCACTTGTCGCACTTAGACCCACCAACACCATGAAAACTATCCTGAGTAGTATGTTTCTTGTCCTCTTCATTATTGACAGTACCAGTATGATTCAGCATGTTGGTTCATTCACTTTTAGAATTATGTACAGTTCTGCATAGTTCTGCCATATTCCTTTGGTTGTGTTGCACACGATGTGCTTTCAGTTTCGTGTTTTCATTGGTTTGCTCTTGTTGTTAGACTGTCGAGCGGTGTCCAGAAACGACAGCCCTGACATCCCAACTGGTCTGAAATTGACATATTGATTGCTTATGTTAAGATCTGACACAGGATCTATGCTGACCCCGTGGAACATCGTGTAACATGACATCATGAAACCATGGTGAAACGTGGTGAAACGTGGTGAAATGTTCGGTCTGACTCGGTCTCCCACCTTCAAATGACGACCCTGACCTTGTGCGAGGCTGGGTCGTATCGCTTCCACCTTCACAGCACAAGGCAAGAGTTACACTGTCCCTGTCACCGCCTCGACTGCAGAACTTCATTGATTTTCCATCCCGTTTGAATGTCCAATGTCTTGGGGTCTGAAAGGTATCCACCCTCGTTCTACAAGACCTTGCGTGTGCACGTGTGTACGCAGGAATGAAGGTCTGGATTCTGGATGGATGTTTCAATGCCGAACTATACTCTCCATGGATGCCTGCATGGATATGATTTATCAGTTACGTATGCCCTGCAACCAAAATTAAAAATGTTATGTGTAAATCCAACCACAGGAAAATTACATCTCATTGTCATGGCACCAGAAAGATAATTTTGAAAAAAATAACTAGAACCCTCCAAACCCCGTGAAGATCCCACACCAATTCAATCAACATCACACAACCTATTGTCAAGAGGAACCATTTGTCGAAACTCGAAAGCTGTTTTTTGCACGTGCTGATTTTCGGGATGTAGATTTACGGGGTGCATGCAGTGTATGAAACATTCTGCGCATAGGTGGATACTGGATACATCTACAAGTTTTTGAAGGAAGGGCTCATGAAGCTAAGGATCCTTGGCTCCAAGCCAACCAAGCTATACAGGACACCAGAATAATTGCCACATTCATCACATTCTGACTCTGTCGCCCACCTTTGCTGGTTGAGCCTGCCCCTTCTCTCGGTATGTCGGAAGGGCTCATGTCGATCCCACCTTCCACAGACCCCACACCGTCTGACCCAGCAAGAACTAAGAACTTGCTTAAAACAAAGAACCAGAACCCATCCAGAACCCGTCCGGGTTTATGTTTTTTGGGTTATAGATGTGGGAGGTGAATGGAGGTGACAGGCTTCTCCAAGGTCTCCAAAGTCCCAAAATCAAACCTCTTCCTGCAAAACTCTTGGAACTTCTGTCAATTTGTGTCACTTTCGTGTGGGCAACGACTTGCTGCCCTGACGCCGAAACTCTGGGGAGGAGACCGTCCACTTTCGCTTTGGATTTGAGATGTTGGCCTCGAAAACAGCGCTGTGAATGCAACTGGAACTGTGTCAACTCAGGTTTCCCTGGGGGATTCAGCTGATGAATTGATCATAGCCCCCTCAAAACTTCTACCTGCCATTCAACGAGAATTTGTCCTATCGAATATACATGAATATACCTAGAACGGACGAGGGCAGAGCATAAAAGGAGAAAATGTGCACAGGTACCCTTCGCCAAACGACGAGGAAAGCTCAACGAGATCAGACGAGATCAGTAAAGTAGTATGTGCACCCCGGCTTTTGCACAGAGGTTGCTTTATCGGCACATTTCTGAAAATCCGAACCGCATAGCGGCCATAGCGGAAGCTACAACTGTACAGAGTCAACCCACAAACACAATGCACACATCTCTGTGTGTGAAGCATGATGCTGGATCCAACTTCCCAAAAGCAACCAGTTGCACTCATCAAACCGAGTGACGTGGAGACACCGGCTTCGGAAACGTGCGCAAATCCGGCAGTGGATGAGCTTCGTGAGCTTCAACCTGGCAAGCTTCGACATTGTTTCGGCCATTGATTCGAAGAAAAGGTCACTTCACTCACCTTGCCATGGAAACTGAGCTGCAGCTTATGTCCCAAGATCATTGACACCTTACGGCCGATTACTTCCTGCACTTTTCACAGAAGGGCTGCGGCAGAGCCTCTGGAGGGGGCAATTTCACACTGACCGTCACCCTCAGCAATCCAAGATCCCAAAACCAAAAATATTCTGCACTCCCAATGGCATCTGGACAAAGGAACACAGACAAACATCTGGACACGGAATGTTTCAGAACATCACTCTGCCAGGCATGACCCCAATCTGACGGTAACTCACTGTCAAACTGTCACAACAACCAGATGCAATTGATCCGTAAGGTGCCCACGTGCCCCCGTACTCGAATGGGCCGCGCGCCAATTCGTATTCCATTGGCAGTTCCACATTGGGATCTGCCAGCTGGACAGTCGCCCTGGCGCAGGTGGCCGCAAATCCCCTGGGTAAGCGTCATCCTCATCATGAATGCCGTCATTGTCATCACAAGCATCAGCATCATCACCACCGTCACCATCACCATCACCATCACCATCACCATCACCACCACCACCACCATCATCATCATCATCATCATCATCAGCAGCAGCAGCAGCATAAGCATCACCATCGGCATCATAAGCATCACCATCGGCATCGGCATCATCGTCATCGTCATCATCATCATCATCATCATCATCATCATCACCATCATCATCATCATCATCAGCAGCAGCAGCACAAGCATCACCATCGGCATCATAAGCATCACCATCGGCATCGGCATCATCATCATCATCACCATCACCACCATCACCACCACCATCATCATCATCAGCAGCAGCACAAGCATCACCATCGGCATCATAAGCATCACCATCGGCATCGGCATCATCATCATGATCACCATCATCATCAGCAGCCGCAGCAGCAGCAGCAGCACAAGCATCACCATCGGCATCATAAGCATCACCATCGGCATCGGCATCATCATCATCACCATCATCATGATCATCATCATCATCATCATCATCAGCAGCAGCAGCAGCACAAGCATCACCATCGGCATCGGCATCATCACCATCGGCATCATCATCATCATCATCATCATCATCAGCAGCAGCAGCAGCACAAGCATCACCATCGGCATCGGCATCATCATCATCACCATCATCATCATCATCAGAAGCAGCAGCAGCACAAGCATCACCATCGGCATCATAAGCATCACCATCGGCATCGGCATCATCATCATCATCACCATCATCATCATCGTCAGCAGCAGCAGCAGCGCAGCAGCAGCAGCACAAGCATCACCATCGGCATCATAAGCATCACCATCGGCATCATCATCATCATCATCATCATCATCACCATCATCATCAGCAGCAGCAGCAGCACCGTCCCCATCACCGTCACCATCACTAGCATCATCTTCTGCTTCTTCATCATCACCATCTTCATCATCACCATCTTCATCTTGATCTTCATGTTCAGCAATGTTTTCGAAAGGCCACCGTTTTGAATGAGCTGGCTGAGGTCAAGAAAAAAACAATTATCCAAGGATCATGATCAGAAGGGCCGCAAACAGAAAGTGGAACAAAAAATTTCGGATCGCGGATCCTCTATGATCCTCTGGGCCCCTGGGTTTGGCAAAAGATAAGACAAGGATTTATTTTAATATTGAGTCTGCTGGGAAATCAAAGCAATCAACACTTCTCATCAACATCAGCTTTCGAAGGCCTCCGACAAAGCACGAACACCCAGCCTTCCGACCCACTCATCTTCAAACTGCATTTGGAGTGGCACTTGTACTTCAAAAATCTCGACGTGAAGAAGCTGTTGCCTCAAGCAGAACACCCAGGCTTTCAGAGAGCCACTGTCAGAAACTCTTCAGCAGTCTGACACAGGCTGGCAAGCGCATGGATCGCAATCATTTGAGAGCCATACACTCTCAAGCTTTCTGTGTTGTGATGTTTGTCCAGCTTTCAACCCCGGGAACGCCTTGGGTTATAAGGCACGCGGATCGTCTCGAAAAAAAACACATCCTGCAGGCAGGAGGTATGGCAGCACCAAATTCCGCATCTGTCAGGAACACTGTTGGTTCATTGCTACAAGATGCTACAAGTACATTATAGCCCATAGTAGAGATTATCGCATGATATATATATATATATCCCAGTCACAAGGCGCAAATCCATCCCCTAAACTTCCTGCCATGAGCTCAGTGCTGGCCTCTCGGCGGGAGCCCGGTGCACTCTTTTTGGCTGGCACCATCTTTGTCTTCCGCGCATCGATTACTTCTTCCGACTCTCCTGGCGGAATGCATCATGGGTTACCATCAGCAACCAAGAAAGGAGATTGTACGAAGGGTTACTCACTACTGCAAGTATCATCAAATTAAATCTCTATATTCTTGAACAAAGAAACTACTCAATTCTATCCACACAACTGCATGTGTCCAAGGAAAGAAATATGACTTTATCCAGGCGGAAAGCTATCTGTTCGGTTCTTTACCCGGCCTGGATAGTAGGCGCTCACCTTAGAGACACAAGCTTTCAACTTGAGGGAAGAGTGGCTGCGCAGCTGCTTTCCCATGGTTTTGTTGGCAAAAATCTCAGAAACTTTAGCATCGATCTTTGATAATTCGAGGAGTTCGGTCCATTTTCCCGACGTTCCAATTCTAGGATGATCTGATATGATCTGCTTAATCTGCCGAATTCTTCAGGTCGCGACGCAGAAAGGGTGCAGCCTGAAGTTGTCCTCGGGGCAACTCTGGATGACGGGGGAAAATGAAGAAATGAAGAAACATGTGAAATCGATTGTTGTTATGACAATGATCATACAATGATCATACGACTTTGAATCCACAATTTCCACACCAAAAGCTCAGTTATTGTGGCTTTGCTGATCATTCATAGCGATTAGATAGTGACTATCAGATTGTGGCACTCTGGATGTCCTGATATGTCCTGATATATGTATGGCCCTGATGCTTTGTAAACACGATGCTGAAACCATTCTCGAAACATCTCGCCCGTGTACCAAGGGCGGAACCATGCCAAGAATCTCATTCGCCTGGGTGTCATTCGTCAGCCACAGGTCAAAATCCCCAACGTTCTCTTTGGGATCTGGTGACATAGTTTTCAAGGAATTTCGAGAGCCGACAAAAACAGCACATGATGTTCTGGGTTGAGGCCGCTGAGGCCCTTACCTTGTCAATGCGGACCTCCAAGTATTTCTGTTCCTCTTTCTTGCGCTGCATGCCTGGCACAATCAACAGGTTGCCGAAACCATTTCAGGAGACAGAATGATGGCATATTTCGAACTGGTAGGGCCAGCCGTGGCCAGCCGCCCTTTGCCCGCACATTTTTTTCACTTCTGACTGTGTTTCCCCTTTCTCCCTTCGTTTCATTTCGTTTCATCCTTTTCAACCCCTTCTGAATCCTCTTCATGGGTTTCAGATGGTTTCAGTTCAAACATGTTGAAATTCCACATGTTTCACCTCCTTCGTCATAAGATTCATAAGTCATACCGGAGTCATACGTCTTCAGTCTATTTGTTGTCACAACATCAGTTCTCACAGCCAACGCACCTCCGCCCTTGTGGCCAAATTTGTCAGGAGATGAATTGGAAGGGTCTGCCAGGCCAATAGTCTCCGGCAGCATTTTCCGAAAGTTTCTGAAAAAGTTTCGGTCAAAGGTTGCAAAATTGTAGCAGTTGCACCTGGGAACTCGATTCCCAGAGGATTCCTGAGGGACCAATGGACCAAGCTCTCTGCGGAAGTGGACATGTGCAGTCACCGGGGGCGGAAGCTTCAAAAAGAATCAGCAGCTCTATTTAGTCATGTTAGTAATGAAATCAATTCAAATCCACCCAAAGGGGTTGCCTGATGCTCCTGGAGTGGCTGCCAAGTTTCTCCAATCCCGTTTTCGGAATGAAGTCATGCCACTTCACGTTGGTGGCTCTGTACAGCCTGCAAAGTCGTACATCGCCGTACTCGACTTGGCTCTGAGTTGTAAAGGTCCGAACCACCCAACTAGACGCGTTTCAGGTTGAATCCTGCAAAATCAACGACTTCATACGACTTCAAATCTAAGTGCTCGACTGGGAAGTTACCGGAGCCATAAAGATGACTTTTGCGTGTACAAAGAGCGCGGGCCCGTTGAACTCTGTTTCAGCCACTCTTGACACAGCTGCGGAATGCGCAAGACATTTGAAGACATCTCCACACGTAGACTCCACTGCAAGAATGGTGCTAATTTCATCCAAGGTTTTCAAATTTCAGCAGCAAACCCTCAAGACATCTCAAGACATCATCTCTCACTTCAATCAAACTCAGTAAAAAAAACATCAACTCCGACACTTTTGCTAACCAATCGAGCCAGTCAAGCGGTTCTACACAGTGAGAAATTTCCCAAGCTGGAAACTTCAAACTCACCATGAGCCCAGGGCCCGGTGCTGCGGAGGCGATTTTTGGGGAAAGGAAGGATCCGTTTCTTCCTTAAAGTCTTGGGAGTGTTTGTGGTTTCAATATGTTTGATATGTTTGATAATTTATTTATAAATAGTTATTTTTATGGCCATGATTAAAGCTTGGTACAAAGAAAGATACAGGATCCATGTTGCCCCCAGGCCAATGAAATTGTCTAGTCTAGGACATCATCACATTCTGTCTGACTCTGTCCCACCTTTGCCGCTTTCTTTTGAGCTTGGACATGCTTGGGCCTTGTTTGTCTGACACCGTCGAAGGGGCTCATATCCGGGCCGAGGCAACTGTTCACAACCAATTGTTCTAGAGATTGTTCGTAAGACATGACTCAGACATGACCTCAGTTTGAGCAAAATTATCCCTGAGGCACCGTGCCCCCATACTCCAGAGGGCTGCGTGCCATGACGGGATCAGGGTGACGCCAGGGCGACGCCAGGGCGACTGTGCAGCTGGCAGGATCTGCCAGCTGCACAGTTGCCCTGGGGGTGCTGCAACCCCCTTGGGGTAACCATCCTCATCATGAATGCCGTCATGATCACCCCTACGCCCTACGCCCTTCAAACCCGCATCGAGGCAGACCAAACTTTGGCCAAACAGAACGAAAACCGAACGAAAAATACACATTCGCTGGGACTCGATATGCTTCTGCCTCCCCAAAACTGTGAATTCAACAGCGGATCATCAGCCAAGTGACGTGGCAAAATGATGCAAAATGGGTCTTGGACCCTTCAATCTGGCAGTGGTTGAACTTCGGTTGAACCATGTTGAACCAAAAACGTGGGCGAGGTTCTATTGTGATGCTTGCGGCCCATGTCCAGCCTTGATTGCAAGATTTGTTCGCCAAAAAAGTCGCTTGACTTTGGAATTGAAACTGGGCAGAATCCCCGTTCCATGCCAAGTGCAGCGTTGCAAGTGAGAGTTACTACCTGTTTTTCAATGGAACTATGCTGCCTCTCAGAGGCACACTAAGAGGCAGGCAAAGCCCCGGCAAAGCCCCTCTGGCTCGTGGAATTCGATGCTCACCGTCACCCTATCACCCTTCGCATCCCTTCGCAAGCCACACATCGTCATGCTGAATCCATCAATGGCATCATCCATAAAGGGACAGTCCCCCAACAAATACATATATATATATATAATGAGTTTGTCAAGACTTTTGTTTCAGAATTTCTCGCCAGCATTGGGCCATTGGGCCAGAAGGTTGGCACCATTGGACACCAAACCACTGTGCTCAGCTGACTGTATTGATAGGCTGATAGGCCCTCTACATCCCTCTTTCCGAGCTGCCAAGACTGGAGAATTGACATGATTTTTTTGGCGCTGGAGCCGCTACCATTTTCAATGCTCACCAGCACAAACTCCTCAATGGCACAAGCTTGAGAGCATCATGATGAGAGGACGGCTTCTTCTTCGAAGCAAAAAAGAAGCAGTCCTGCCACCATGAGGAATCTTCCGTCCTTGCACTTTGTCCAGTCACCGGTCGGGTCACTTTAGCCAAAAGCTGGTGGCCCTGGTTCCTCAATGCTTTAGCTTCCTGAAAGCTTGGTGTTGGACACAAGTTATTGCCACAAACATGTCTTTTGGTGAAGGGCAAGTTCAATGGGAGCAGTAACTTAGAATGCGCACCAATGTTTTTGCATGACACCATGGCACAAATAGCATTGTGATTTTGATAATCACAACCACATTGCGTGAGCCGTTGCAAACGCTACTACACACTAAGACACAAGGAATGTGAATGCATCAAAACGCATCAAAATGCACTTGGTCTTCGGCAGCATGCTTCAGCTTCCGCCAAAAGTTTCGACTTCAACAGCCACTCATCAGGGAACCCAGTGCTGAAGAAATTTTGTGGAGTTTCCACAGGAGTCAAAAATCTTTCCACAGGGAGGACATACCCAGAGCCCCACACCTCGCTGGTCCTGAGGCAACAGCTGGTGGGCACAACAGCCAAAGAGTGAAGTCGGACACCAATGGAGGCTGGGTAGCTTGGTGTTGGAGAAGTTCATGAGTTTCCAAGCCTATGAAAACAGGAAGCCTAGGCATCATGTTATTTTTCCAACAGGACGAGACATTCGAGGTCCGCCACCAGCTTGCGAGATTTTTGGAAACTCTCGGGTCAGGTGGAACGCAAGCCATGCAACCAGCCGCCATGTCACTGAGCTGCTCTCTCCGTGCGAGTCTGGTACATTCTTCATGGTAACCTGGTAACTCATGATGCATTCCGCCAGAGTCGGAAGTCATCGATTGAAGACAAAGATGGTTCTTGGTCTTCGAATCGATGACTTCTGATTCTCCTGGCACGGATTTTGTTGAATCTGGCCATCAGCAAAACAAAGATTATGTATGTATGAATGCATATGATTGTATACTGGTTGTGTGTTTATTTATGTATGTGTTGAGTATTTATTAATAATTAGTATATCATGTTCTATCAACCCCATTGCATGTTGCGAAAAAAAATGTGACTGTACCCAAGCAAAGTATTGGGTCTTTTCCTCAGCCCCCTGGCCTTGCAGGCGCTCACCTTACCAAGGGAAGAGTAGCTGCTCTCTCATGGTTTTATTGGGAAAAACCTATGCCGAAACCAATGGTTTTCAGATGGTTTTCCCATCCAGTTTAGGGTTTTGTTCAAGGGATTCCTGAATATTCCTGAGATTTCCTGAGCATGGAACAAGACACCTTCTCGTTATGAAAAATAAAGAAAAGAAGTGGAAAAATTCTGTGGCAGCCAATATCCACAACATCCTTTTTCCAAACCGCCAGCACCGTGATACATGATCTCACATGCCAAGAAGAACTTTGCAAAGAACGAGGTAGTAAATCTGTCCCACCAAGCGACCAAGGAAAACATCCCCAGAAAAGGTAACTTCTCTGTTGAAGGATTCAGACAGCTTCACCCAAAAATCACTCTTCGCACATCTTGTTAGGTGCGTGATGGAAATGCGGATGTCCAAAGCATGAAAGTCACGTGCACCACCTCATGGAAAGGCCTGGCCGATGCCCTGCTCAGACTCTCAGACGGGTAAATGCTGTTGACTTGCTGCCGAGTCTCTCCAACCCCTTCTTGGAATCCTTGGAAGTATCTGATGCCTCACATTGGTGGCTCCGTGCGACGTCATCAGCTGTGTCTTGTGACAAAGATCGTGTCATTCGTTGGATCCTCATGGACGGAAGAAATCTGAGTGCTCGGCCCAGGACTGGAGCCATCAATTGCTGGTGAGGAACAGATCCTCTGCAGCTAAGCTTGATACAGCTGCGGGAGGTGCAGGACATCAAAAATCTCTCAGTGTAAGCTCTGCAAAACAATCCTCCATGGGAGTTCAGTCAGTCTACAGAGTCTACAGCATGTCATTCATCATGCAGATGCAAGGTGTCAGTGCTGGAAAGAATGTTCCAGCATCACACAGCCATCACCGAAGATGAGAACCGACCAAGGGTTGACCTGGGTAAAAGTGCTTGCAAACTTCGGAACCTCAAGACATCATCTCACTCCAAGAAACATCCATGGAATCTATACAAGCAGCTCAGAACATCCATGATCAAGCAAAGCTGCAAGCTGAAACATCCAGAATCCAAAAACCCACAGCATTGCAGGGCTCCATTTGTTCACGTTTTCCCTATCTCCCCCCACGGGGAAGACCATACAGCTTCAATTTTCCACCGTGCAGATCGTCTCGGCACAGCAGCTGTAGACTCTAGGGCCTGGAATGGGAAGCACTTGGAAACAGCATGGAATGCTTTCTCATCTTTGGCCGCACAGTGTAGAAAGTTTGCTGCAAATTAGACAAAAAGTTAGATGATGTTAGATGGATGACTTCATTTTTCTGTCAACACACATACTTGTTGACACATTGATAGATTTGCTGACAGCTCTCAGGCTTAGAGCAGAAGCCGCCGATGTTTCTGCTCCGATTTGCTTGCTTGATGCGCTTGGCGCTGACTGACTCAGACGTGGCCAGCAGACTGGCCTAAATTGATCTGCACCATGGCCTCCGACCATCTCTGCCTCAGTGAGAAACACTGAAAAAACGGCGGTCTCTGTGCGTGCCGTGCAAATCTTGCAGTTCAGGTTAGCCACTAAGTCAAACTACACTATAGCTCATCGCCTGAACTGAGACATCCGGCTCTTGCTGACGGCAATCATCTAAGAACAGCCAAGGATTGATATGATCGAGTTCGACTGGCACATCAGCAAAAAGGGGAGTCTGTCAGACTGCCTATCTGGGTGGTGGCTTGGACATGTTTCAAAACATCCAAAAGAAACACTTGGGGCCTCCATCATCCACTGCAGATATCTCAAAATTGACGAAGTGCTTCACCTTCCCCCAAAACTTTGAAACCACCAACCATCAGCCACCAACCATCAGCCTACAGTATCGCGAGTTTGGCCTTAGCAAATCGCCTTCAGAAGGACAGCTCTGTCCTGCTGCAGCTCGGGAGATGCTTCCAGTGCCAAGCCGTCATTGCCAACGGCAAGAACGATGTCCTGGGGAAGTCATGTGGACGATGGGAGATAAACAAAGCTAAAATGCATGGACTTTTGGATGAATCTCTATCTTCAACCAGAGCCGGGAATAGAAATCCCTTCGTGAAATTTTATAGTATGTAAGCAAGTAGAACGAGTAAACAAATCACACATCTGACGAATACTAAGTATAATATGTGAATCGACATGAACCACCCCACAATCTTGCCGTTTAGTCTGTCCTTGTCTGCCCGAACGCTAGCACCCTCCGGAGCAAATTTCAAGGCCCAGCCATCTCTCTTCACAGCCTCCAACATGATGCCCCTGTCCGCCTTCAGTCTTCGGCTGGCATAGTCCAATGCATCCGGGTTTTCCTTCACCGCTTCCATCACCGCCCCACGGTTGTCCACGGACTCCATGAAGCGAGGCCCCCGGTCGTCTTCAAAGATGGAGGGAACCTCTTCAAGGATGGTGAACTTACCAGGGCCAGGCTCAGAAACCTCCACATTCTTCAGGAAGCCGCGAACATCCGCATAGCCCAAAATGGCACGAGTTTGTCGTGCATAGGCTTGCACTGCAGCAGCACCGATCTCATCATCATCTCCCAAGCCTGCTGGTAAACTTTCCACCAACTCTGGCAGCGCAACGGGTTGGGTTCTGAGGTAATTGGGCACAAGTTCAAAGGCCTTGGCGTTTTTTCTCCACAGCAGCCAGCACGATGCCCTCGTTCAGCGATTCCGCAGGGGCATACGGCATACTTCAGGGCCTGTCCATTCTGTTTCACAGCTGCCAACAGGATGTGCTCCTTGCAGATCTCGGGAGGGACAAACTGCAGGGCCAAACCATTTTTTTTTACAGCTGTCAACGCAATCTGGTCCAGTCCCTTGCACTGGACAGACACGAACTGCAGGGTCATTGCATTGTTCTCCACGGCCAACTTGGCCATCTGGGGATCCTTCTGGAACTTGGGATTCACGAATTCAAGGGCCGTCCCGGCCATCCCAGTCTGCTGCAACGCAGACTTCACGAAGTCAGCCTTGTTTTGCATCTTGGTGGATGATTGCAATCGGCTAATGACTTCCGCATCGGTCATGGGCATTGCGGCATTGCAACTACGAAGTGGTTTTCTTTCCAGCTGGACGCGCCTTCACTATGCAAGGCTCGACAGCTGAAACAAATGATGGGACCACCAATTTGCAGCATCTCCTCCCACATCCATTGCAACAAAATCACAGGAATGAAATCTGCACATAAAAATGAACATTTATGGATTTGTCTGAAAATATGGTACCTCAATTTTTGATAAGGTTCATCTTGATTTTTTCTATGGACTTTGTGGGAAAAAAACCATTTTGACCTAACCAATTCTGCACCAGGGCCTGCAGAGCCCACATCTTGCAGCTGCGAAGCAGCGTGAGAGTCTCGACCTTGCGCTTTTTCAAAGCGGGATGCTTTGGCCATCGGTGTGATTGGAAAATACCCTCTGGCAATCAAACGTGGCAATGGGAAAACCATCTATAAATGAAGGTTTCCCCCCCAAAAAAAAATATAATCTATAAATGAGGAAATATCCATTGCCATGTTTGATTACCAGAAGGTAAGAGAAACTGGTAAATCTTAAAAAACATCCAGCAAAACAACACCCAGTTTGCCCATATCTATATCCAATCTTCGAAGATGGAAACAAATGGGCGAGACATGCCTGGTGTTGGAGAAAACTACATTACTTTTGCAAGGGTAAGGCACTGCAAGCTGGCTACTGGATCAACAAACTTCTGTAATGATTGTCCCCGAAATAGCCAGTTGTAGAGGTATACTGTAGCCCCATGTTCAGACACATCCACATACACACCAATACAAAAAATGGATTTCAGCCATAGATCATACCCAGCCACAACCCAAAATAGATCATCATAGATCCAACCACCTCAACCTAGATCATGACCAGCACCCCAGATAATCTGGACAAACCACAATAAAAGGATATCCAGTATGATATTCAGTTACCATAAAACATAATAAGTGATGATAAGCCATCGAATCAAGCCGTGGTGGCTAGAAACGTGTCCCAAGCGCCAGAAAGGATCTAAAGTTTCTTTTCGAATCGCAACCATTCGCGGCCAATCAGCCATTTATTCATTGTTGAGCAGGCGGGGTTGGCAACTTGAAGCCGACCTTCTTCATGTTCTTCTTCAAGTTCTTCTTCAACTTAGTTTTCAACTCGGCTGTCCAGACACGCCAGGATTCGCCCCCTGCACCACCATATTTCTTCAACAACTTCTTTACCTCGCCTTCGGCATAGTCAAAGGGCGTTTTACCTTCCGCATCTTTAACATTCACATCTGCCTTGGCGGCCAACAACAGTTCCGTCTCCTCCGTTAAGTTCTTCTTGACCGCTAGGTGTAGCGGGGTGGAGTGATTCAGTTTCACATTGACGTCCGCCTTCAGGGATGCAAAAAATCCACAAACATCACCTGAATTCCGGCTTAATCACCATTGAATATGTTTCATGGGTGATGGCCTTCACCCCTCATTCCCAAAGCAGTAAGATCAGATCGAAACCCAGCACGCCCCCAAGGGAGATTTACTGACACAAAGTCTAACATGAAACCCACGGACCACTATGGGAAATCATTTTCCCCTATTGTAGGGAACCCCCATGCCAGTTTACAGAAACTCGGACATGTAAACATCAGTCCCAAACCGGAAAATCGTCTCCAATAGCCGTGCACATATATTCGAAGAAAGTTTAGAAGTGAAACTTCCGACAATATGGACAGTTGAAAAGCAGAGGTGAGAAGAGTCAGAAGAGAAAAGATCAGAAGAAAGAAGATGCAGATGCGCGAAAAGATAGGAAAGTCGCGAAACACTGTGTTTTTCCAATGATTTGGGGCTCCGGAGGGTCGAAAAGTAGGCTCGCTCAAGCGGCGGGAGCCAGCTGGCCAGATGAGACATGAAAAAGTGCACGCCGTTGTGGCGCGAAGCACGTTTTCAAGTCAAAATGGACAAAACACTAGAGGATCGGACCACTTTTGGAAGTTGCGATGTCGAAAAAGTGCACGCCGTTGTGGCGCGAAGCACATTTGGAAGTCAAAATGTACAAAACACCGCAACCTCGGACCACTTTTGGAAGTTGAGATGTCGAAAAAGTGCACGCCGTTGTGGCGCGAAGCACATTTCCAAGTCAAAATGTACAAAACACACCAGGTTCGGACACTTTTGGAAGTTGAGATGTCGAAAAAGTGCACGCCGTTGTGGCGCGAAGCACATTTCCAAGTCAAAATGTACAAAACACCAATGTCGGACCACTTTTGGAAGTTGAGATGTCGAAAAAGTGCACGCCGTTGTGGCGCGAAGCACATTTCCAAGTCAAAATGTACAAAACACACCAATGTCGGACCACTTTTGGAAGTTGCGATGTTGAAAAAGTGCACGCCGTTGTGGCGCGAAGCACATTTCCAAGTCAAAATGTTAAAAACACTAGGGGTTCGGACCACTTTGGAGGTTCAGATGTCGAAAAAGTGTCGAAAAAGTGCACGCCGTTGTGGCGCGAAGCACATTTCGAAGTCAAAAGTGTAAAAAAACTGAGGGTTTTGAGCCTTTTTTGACGTGAAGATGTCGAAAAAGTAGACATTGATTAACTTAACTAACTTGACTAACTTAACTAACTTCACTAACTTAACTACCCTAACTTCGACGACAACAGCAACAGCAACAACAACAACAACAACAACAACAACAACACCAACCACAACAACTACAACTACAACAACTACAACTACAACTAGAACTACAACTACAACAACTACAACAACAACAGCAGCAACAACAACAACAGCAACAACAACAACAACTACTACTACTACAACTATTACAACTACAACAACTACAACAACAACTACTACTACAACTACTACTACTACTACTACTACTACTACTACTACTACTACTACTACTACTACTACTACTACTACTACTACACTACACTACACAACAACTACAACCACACAACAACTACAGCTACAACTACTACAACAACAACTACTACTACTACAACTACAACTACAACTACAACAACTACAACTACAACTACAACTACAAAACAACTACAGCTACAACTATATGACTGCAACTACACTACACTAATTACATTACACCACAACTACAACTCCACTACGCTACAACTACAACTACAGTTGCAGTACATCACACTACATCCAGCAGTTGTGGGTGAGGTGACCACTGCAGCCATTGCAACCACTCCAGCAAACACAACTCCAACCATTTTTCGGTCAATCAGTGGATTCGCTCTGCCATCCGTGATTCACAACAACCAACCTCTCCTATAGGTTTCTTATTTTTGAAACTTCCGCCACCGCCTTGTGCGGTACTACTGGTATATACATCATCTCCCCACAGACTCATCACAGTTGAATCCCCATTGCCCGTGTTTACATGATCAAAAGATGGCTAAGGCTAAATCTGTCATTTTCTGGTTCCCTCCATGCTGAATTCCATCCCTAAAAATTCCCCATCAATGCGCTCAAGGTATGTACATATATTCATCTATACACATAATATATATATATAATATATATATATATATGGTTAAGGGGTGGTTGCCGGCGTGCGTTTTTATGCACGCTTTTAGGCTTTGCTTGGGGGGCCTCTTGAGTCTGCAGCCTCCCGCGTCTTTCCCCCCTCCAGTCTCCCTCTCCAGCTGCCCGGATTATACGATGTTCCTATGCAAACATGCGTCGTACTAAAAATGTACTATCCCTAACCACGTAGTATTACCCATGACCACATATTATCTTTTGCAAAGTTTATGTTTCCCTATACCTAATATATATGGATCATTTATCCGCTTATATACAAGGCTCCGAGGCACCATCCTTTTCAGAGACCCCTATTCCCTTGACAGAAGGAGACCTCTTTTCACACAGCCTTCCCAAGGAACATGTACCATCCTCTTCAGAGACCCCTGTTCCCTTGACAGGAAGAGACCTCTTTTCACACAGCCTTCCCATGGAAGCAAGTGGCCTGGCGAGCACAACTTATGGGAGGGTGGGAGGGTGGAGACGCTTGGGAAGTCTTAAGGATCTCCTGGGGATTGCCAGAGGATCCCCCACAAAACTTTTCCAGGGAATGCTGTCTAGCCAAGAGCCCCAAAGAGTCCCCAACCCCCCCCCTCCCATAAGATGTGGTTCCAGGGATTATCCCTATAAAGTTCCCTAGGGATTCCCCTTGAAAGGTTCCTGGTGAATCTTGCTACTCCAGGCACTCCGCTACCAAGTACTTGCTTCTCTCTATCAACACTAACGTCTACCATTGCTCTTGTGGGGCAGCACAGACTTGTACCCATGCCCTTGTCATGCACCCTCAAAAACCATCGGTTTTGAGAACGCCGGGTACCACCCCGGAGCCATAGATATAATATAATATAATATAATATATATATACATTAATATATATATATACATCTCAAAGTGCCATATGAAACTCAGTACAACTCGCGCTCCCGCAGCTTTCTTTTTCACAGCCAAGCCTATGTTAGGTCAATGTCACCTGCAATCCTCAGGTTTGCTTTGGGTCGTCACTGTGTGACATGTACATAGCCTCAGACCAGTCTCACCACTGGTCAGCTACCTGGATCTCCAGGTTGGAACCTGCTCTTGCAGGTATCACCCAATGCACTAACTATCCCAAAGCACTAAAGGAATTCAAAGGTGAGAATGACAGCAACAAAAGGCAGCTGGAAAAAGATGGTAGGGAGATCCGACGCGTAAAATTCACATCCATGGCACCGCCACCAAGGATCGTCGACCCCAAGTCGACTGATGTCATCAGCCCAGTTGCTTTTGCTCTGGACGTACTCCCAGTAACCCTGGGCTCGCAGTGCAAACAGAGCTAGATGGATCAAATGACCTAGCTTTGCTAAGTCGGCATTGCTAGAACGTCCTCTCACTAGCGTCATGACAGCGGCGACGTTGTCCAAAAACCAGAGACCGTGTCGATTTCGAAACAGGTCAGGCCGTTCGACCAAAGCGTAGAGCACCATTGAGAGTTCCAACTGGGCGATGTGGGTTTCTGCAGGCTGCCATAGTTTCTGAAGCTCTGCAAAATTGGTTGCAACAAAACTGTGACGAATCTGTGATCCGTCAGGCTGGAAAAATATCAGGTGAAAACCTCCTGAGCCTGGGTTATCTGCTTCAACTGCGGCATCCGATGCTGCAAGAAAGCGAAGATGCTCCAAGCGCAGCACGGGAAATTCCCGTTTTGGCTGAAAGCGCATCCCTGCCTCGATCACCTCGAAGCAAGCTTCAATCTCTGGGGTCATGGCCGTAGTGGTTTCATCCTGCCTGGCTTTGATCGCCATGAGACCACCGTATCCCACGCGGCCATAGATGCCCTGCTCGAGGAAATTGGCCAGCCCATACAGCTTCGAAGCGGTGCCTCGGCTGAAGTGGCCAGTACCTCTAGCTGTGCTGAGGGTGTCACGAACTTTGTCATGGAGACGTTCTCGGGCCCAAAACTGAACGTGTCCCGTGTGATTGATGCTACTCAGATCATGAGTCAAACCCAAGAAGGTTCCAGTGCTCTGCATGGCCTGCTTCTTGTCCTCTGCAAAGGGGGATCCGCTTAGAGAGCATAGTTGGTTCATGGCCCATTGACCAGATCCTTTGGCCGACTGCACGTCGGTGATGGTTGCGTCATCAAAGTACAACGACGTCAAAACTTGGCAAAGTCGCCTGGTCAACGCTTCCAACAACCTAGAAAAACGGTTGAAGGAAGTGACTGCCAAAGGGAGCCCAGAAAGGAGGCCTGCATAAACTTGGTATGCTGGTGTTTGCCATTCGTGGTGGAACCACACGACCACACAGCGCAGGCTCTCCTGCATGTGATGCCATCGGACAATACCTGTATGCTGAAGGCAGGTCTTCTTGGCCTGTCTCCCAGGCGTCCTGTGCCAAAAATTCGGAAACCTCTTCGTCTGTCCAGCGATGCATCACTAAGCTGATGTGCTGTGCTGGTCAGATTGGGCTGCACAATGTAATCTTGTTGGCATCAGAAGACAGGGCGGATTGGCCTCCCGTGTCACCATTGTCGATGACTCGCTGTTTGCCTGAACTTTGGGTGATGACGCATCGTGGGATCAGTCGGTGTGCCCTGTTGCCAATGAGCCTCAAAAACTCTGTTCTCCGCAAAGGTGATGTGCAGAATCCATTGGCAGCAACTGCTGAAGAAGGAATTCGTCGTCCTTCCCTGATCGCAGCTGATTCAAGATGTGCTGATTGTGTTCTTGCCACCCGTCCAACACAGCATCCGACATGCTGATCACCTCCGCTGGTTGCTGAGGAAAGATGCCGTAATGTGGTGCGTACCCAACTGCTGGTAATCCTCGGACCAGCCCAAAGGGGAAGCTCGTGTCAGCCCAGGAT